ACGTAGCCTCTTATGATAGTTCCACGTAAGCGCGAAAAATGGCGGGATAACCATGCTTTTTCAAATTTTTAACCCTTTTATAAATAAAAGCTAGGTAAAAAAAATTCAACTCTTTTCACAATCCACAATTTCCGAAAATTAACTAGAGAGAGAAATTAAAAGAGATTTATAGAGAGAGTTTATGAGAGGAAGAGAGTATTTGAAAATGAGATCCGACTGCCGACTCGTTGGGTACTTAGACCGTCTCGTTGATACTTAAAAATGTCTCTTCCACTCTCAGGTACCGTCCCTCTCCTTGTTGTTTTAATTTTCTTTAAATCTTCAAAATGTCTTCAAAAACCTCTGATCCGGCCACCTCTTTAGAAGTTGGTCAGTTCTCCCAAAACCGAGGAGTCAAGGATCCAAAGGTCGGTTTGTTTTTTTCTGTCCCTTCCCCCTCTAAGTGTCCGACCGAATCCTTTATGTCAATATAGGGCACGCCTAGGGTTAAGAAAACGGATTTTGTAGACTTTAGTGAAGAGGAGGCCAACTCTTTTAGAGTGCCAGCAACGAGATTACCAAGGTCCACCCCAACTCAAGTTCCTCCAAGGGAAATGAAGTAAGGCAATCCGACACTGAAGAGGACAGCTCTTATGAAGACTCAGGCTCTACGTCTGGGTTGTCCATGTCTGACGATGGTAATGCCAGTATCGAGGGTCATGATAGCTCTTGCGACGGAGTCGACTCTCTTGGAGAAGAAAGAACTGGAAATTACGGTGACATGTCGTCTCCCCCAGCTGACCCTGAAGATGAAGGGACCGGCAACCTGGAGAAGGTCCTTGGAAAAAGGGACGAAGGTGGGAGACGGTGAAGGGTCGTCTTCTTCGGTCCATGAAGGGGAAACAGAGGTAGACGAGGGTCCGTCTACTTCCGAAATTCAATGTGCAGACGGTTGGCATCACCCATATGCGTATCACTAAAAGATCTGAGACAGATGAAGTCTTAAATAATAAGGTTCAGAGCCGGCCACCAGATGGGTGACGACTTTAAATTGAGGACGGCCGCAACTGAAGGCACTGTGGCTTGGGAACACAGTGATCCAGATGCAGACCTATATTTTGGCTGTTATGAGGCGAAAATTAAAGCCGACCTTAGGTTCCCACTTCATCCGGCAGTGGATGAAATTCTGGGAGGCCTGAACATGGGCCTGTGGCAACTGACCTCCAACTTTTGGTTAAATATTTTGGGGTTTGTTGCCACATGTGAGTTAAGGGGGATACAACTTGAATTTTCCGTCTTTCAACGGGTGGTATATCTGACGAATGCCCCCAAAGGGGACGGCTGGTATACAGTGCATACTAAGTCTGAATATATGATGTTGCTTTCCAAGCCGTTTAAGTTGAGAGACTGGGGGCACCGTTTCTATTATTTAAAATCAAATAACAGGGAATTGAATACAAAGTACAATTCCTGGAATAAAAAGCCCTTCCTTCAAGGAAGGAGCCCGGATCCAGAATTGCCGCCTGTCCTAGAAGACGTTTATAAGGCGGTCGTTAAACCAGGTCTTTTTGGGGTGATGACCTAGGAAAATGAGGATGGTTAGAAGGTGGTCATCCCTAATACTGGGCCCCCACTACTTGTGGTTGAGGGGCCCACTTTTCCTGTCGGCTTGTGATCTAAGCCGGCAGTCGGTAAGGGTGAGTAATTATTTCTTAATAGCTGTCGGCACATAGTATATTGAGTATTTTTCTAACTCTTAATTTATTTTTTCTTTAGAGTACGCCATGTCTAAATTCCTTGAAGAGCAGACTCCTGGGGCAGGGGGGCGAGCCTTCGCCTGAAAATATTCGCTGCCAAATAGCGGCGATATGAGGAGGAGGAGAAGAAGGCGGTAACTCGCCTTGCCCTTTGATTATATAATTTGAATAAACAGATGGTATTCTACCGTCTGGTGCCACCTGCTAATTTAATTTTTTGCAAGTGGTTTATAAAGGTGTTGGTCGGCATTATGCCGTCAGCACTAGAGTCAAATTTTTGTACAACATTGTTGCATTCAAAGGTGTTGGTCGATATTAGGCCATCCAGCACGTTCAAAAGAGGATTTTATCTTGGCTATTTGCAGTGGTGTTGGACGGCATATTGTCGTCCAGTACCTCTAGAACCAATTTTGTTTTGAAAGATGTTCTTCAAGGGTGCTAGTCGGCAGTTTGCCATCTAGCTCCCTAGACAATAGCTTTGAGATACAGGGTTATCTATTTGAGAGTTGGTCGACATTTTTCCGTCCAACACTTTAGATAAAAATTTTGAAACAAGGTTATCTAAATGAGTATTGGTCGGCTTTTTGCCGTCTAGCACCTTCGATAACAATTTCAGAATAAGGTTATTTACTTGAGTGTTGGTCGGCATTTTGTCGTCTAGCACTTTAGATAACCGCCTTGGAATAAGGTTATTTGAATGAGTGATGGTCGACATTTTTCCGTCCAGCACATTAGATAACAATCTTCAAAATAAGATTATCTACATAAGTGTTGGTCGGCATTTTGCCATCCAATACTTTAGACATCAGCTTAAACAAGAAATTTTTCTAACTTCCTTACTTTTCGTTTTGTAAGAGGGTGACACCCGGGCACCTCCCAAGTCGCTGCAGAAAATGACGAGGTCAGGAAAGACTCCTGAGGCCCCCTCCAGCAAAAAACAGAAGAGCTCCACGCCTACCGACTCCAAGAGTCGGTCTACTAAGGACCCGTTGCCATCCAATACTTTAGACATCAGCTTAAGCAGTCATTGGTATCATGACCAACGTCTTTATGGAAGTGACAATATTTTTTATTGTCATGGAATTTTACCGGACCCCGCATGGGAGTCAGCTTTCCGAACTTAATTCGATCCTTAATTTCCATAAGGATCGAATAATAGTCTTTATTAAGTTCGAAAGCCGGCTGGTTAGGCTCGGCCTTCTTCTGCTTCTTGCTGGACGGTTGCCCAGCATCATCTGCCGTCCAGACTTGTTTTATTTTTTTAGGACGGTTGTTCCTGTCGCCCGTCCTTCTTTTGGGACGGCTGCTCTTTCCGTCCCTCTTTCTTTGCATCCGACTTCTTTGGATTGGTTTTAGCCGAGCAGAGCTCAACAGCCTGGATATAGTTCTCTGCCTCACATAAGGTTGCTGGCAGAGTAAAGATCCGTTTCCGGATCAAGTCGAACTTGAAAGCTGAACCGTCTTTCAAGCCCTTGAAGAAGTCAATAAAGGCGACTTCATCAGAAATCCCTGGAATCTAAATTTGTTTCAGGTTGAAGCGTCTGACGATGGACCGAAGTCCTTCAGTTTCTCCTTGAACAACCATCCCCAAATCCATTGTAGTCTTCTTGGCTGGGATGTTCATGGAGAAAAGTCGGATCCGGCATAGAAGGAGTCGACGCCGTATCCAAAAGTTGGCCTTGCACCCACTTCTTATGCTGGAGGTACTTACGCACGTCAGTGAAGCGGGGCTAATTACCGTCCAGCACGGCATGCCGAGATGGTTTTTTCGAGTGGTTGCCTCGAGGAAGGACGACCTTGCCCTAATCAATGGGGTTTGTTTTCTTAGGATGTGGAGTCAGCTTCCTCATCCGCACATCCTTTGAAGTTTGGAGCTGAGTGGCAATACCCTTCCTCTTTTCCTTTGATTTTTCCGGCTTCTTCGAGACCGGCTCAGCAGTTGCTGGAGAAGTAGCCTTTAACATGCCGGCTATTTCCCCCTTAAAATCAGACAGAATTTGCAGCAACTCAGCATGAGATACTGCTGTTGGAGGCGGTTGGATTGTGGACGGCTTAGGAATTGCCGACCTGCTTCCTCCAGCAGCATCAGTATTCCGCTCCTTATTTTCCTTGGAGTGAACTCGCTTGAACGAAGGCTGTTGTCGACCGGATCGAGATAGACCTCGATCTCGTCGCTAGTATCATAATCAGTTTTGACCACAACTTTGTCAAGATTTTCAGCAGTCGGTACAAAACCGTCTTGAACCATGATTTAGTAGTACTCTCCCCACAAACGGCGCCAAATGTTTTGGGGGTTTCTATGAACGTCCTTCGGGAGAGTAAAATCTGAGATCACAATCCACCGGGTCTCTGTACCTGCAAAACAACGAAAGCATCGTGGTACGTTGTTCCGCCTTCGACGATTAAATAAGTACGTGAAAGAGAAGAAATGTAAGAAAAAGTGCGGAAGACCAGAATGGGGGTAAGCAGTAAATGCTTTGTGATTCTCGAGGTAAATGTGAGAGTAATTATGATTAAAGAAGTTGTAAAGTTGTTTTACTGTCATTAATTACAGTATTTATACTCTAGGAAAACGTGCCCACTAGGGATTTTAACCTAGGTTTACTGGGCTTTGTCTCGTACCTGGAATTTGGGCCTGTTTACTAGGTTCCACATGTCAACCCTTCGTTGGATGTCAAAGCTGAGTAAGCCGACATGTGTCATTGTTTGGTTGGTCCACTAGCGACGCTGTCACGCGGCAATAGTCTTCTTCGCGGGGCGATGGATGCAGACATGGCGCGTCAATGCCATAGCTGGTCCACGTGGCGATGCAGTTTTTTGCATAAGTAGGTAGCATATGTAAATCTTAAAATCATACATAAAATTTATGTAAACAAAATCATTTTATTATTTTAAACATAACATATATTGTCTAAACATTTATGTGATTATATATAAATTAAAAAAGCCCTACCACTTACCAAAATTATTTATTTTAAAAATGCAGTTGGTTAAGGAGTTCTAATTATCAACGTAAAATAAAATCAATTAATTATTCTGAAGTATATGGGTATATCTTATGAGCAATAACCTACCGACCTAATAATTTAGTAAAAATTGTGAGTGGCAAGCGACTTAAGCTAGTAGGTATATATTTTTCAAGTTCGTTTATAGTTAGAATTTTTAAGTTTTATACTCTACAAATAAACTAAGCAGCTACTTCTAATTATTTTTAGTTTAAATGGTGTACATACGTGTATCTCATGAAAACATTTCTTGATATAGAGGAAGCAGAAGAAATCTTTCGACGGTTGCTTCAAAGAGAGCCAGGCTTAATTGAACAAGTTGACGAGAATGGATTTTCGGTATTCTATCACTGGGTTTTTGATGGTAAAATGTGGCCATTTAAATGTCTTCTAAAATGCCATGATATTATCCCCGATGTAAAGAGTGTTTTTGTTGACATGGTATCTTCAACAAACATATATGGTGACAACCTTCTACATAATCTAGCCGAGTATACATCTAGAGAAGAAATTGCTATAGAAATAGCAAAATTACTTATAGATATATACAAACAAGAATCATCGAACATCGATGTGCTTCCCTGGTTAGTGCAGGATACTAACGAAGATACACCATTGTCCTTGGCCATTGCCCGTCAATATGAAAAGTTTGCAATGTATATTATATCAGTGGATGAAGATGTCATTATTACAAGTCAGCAAAATGTTTTGTTCTTGGCTATCGAGAAGGGATGTCATGAAGTTGCAAAGAAGATTTTTGACATAATAGAAAACAAAGGTTGGACTCAACTTCTTTATAGTGATCAGAAGAATGTGTTGCATCTTGCACCATTATGCAAACGTGAGTCTTCATCTCTCTCCTCCTCTTTCTTAAAGAACTTATTTTATTTAACTACCCTTTTTTTTTTGTTTATTCTAATATATCACCTACAAAAAAAAAAAAATTTTAACCACCTATTAATAATTTCAGTCAAAAAAACCGTTAAGTTTTAAATTTCAGTATTTAAAAAAAATGCCGAAAATATAAACCTCATTTTGTATGCCAAGAAATGTCTCTATTTGCGTGCCACTATTTTGAAATATTATTTTTTTGAAGCAGAAGAGTTTTGTACAAGATTGGTTGAAGGGCACCCAGAGTTACTCAATGGAATAGACAAAGGAGGGATTACAATATTACATAGTTGGCTTAAAAAGGGTGAAGAATGGCTTTTTAAATACATTTTAGAGAGCAAATGGAGGAGTACTTTTGTTAAGCTCATAAAGGAAACAGATTACAATAAATGGAACAATCCTTTTCATGTTGCTGCAACTACCACTAATAATGAAGCAACAAACCAAGTAGTAAAGCTCCTTGTTGAAGCTTTCAAAGAAGAATTTCCTAATTGGAATGGGTATAGTGCTACTCAAATGCCATGGTTTATACAGAATAAAGCAAAGGAAGGACCTTTGCACGTGGCCATACGCAACAAAAATGAAAAACTTGCATTATACATATTGTCTCTATATGAGGAAGATCACATCAATGAACTGCTAGATTATTACGAGCCAGAGCACATTACTTTGTTTTTAGCCATACAGAATGATTGTCAAGACGTAACCAAGAATATAATGTCAAGATTAGATAAAGGCAGCTGGACCAAATATCTTAAGGATATTTCTAATGGCCGGAATATATTGCATTTGGCTCCAAGTTTGACAAGTAAGATTTGATATTTGCTCTAGCATTCTTGATATTTAGATCATCCAAATTTAAAAGATATTATTTAGTCTTTCTATTCTATTTTAGATATATCACTTACTCTCTCACTAATTTTTTCAATAATTTATTTGTTGTCATATTATTATGTATGTGCAAGTGAGACAAGTGACAGACTAAATTATTTTAATAAATGTACATTAGAGAGCAGGAAAGAGAGAGCATGTGAGAGTGGCTATTTATAATTATTTTAATAAGGATTATGAAAAAGAATGGATGATAAAATATTTTGAGTGGTGACGTAGAGAAAAGAGTGAAATAACATAAAATATTATAAAGTTACAAAAAATATATAGAAATGATGCATTTTTAAAACGGTGGAATTAGACTTGTAGATGCTAATATTTCATTTCTTCAAATTCATTGTAAATTTCAACCTGTTTGTGTTATTGATTATTTATTTGCATCTTGTTGTACTTAACTTCTTCTAATTATGTGAATAGGCTTGGGTAGTATATTGGGTAGCAAATTACTATCATAACAAATACGGGAACCCCATGACCTGACTTTCAAACTATTGGGTACCCAAAAACCTGGGTACTCGGATCTAAACACCCCTTGTCTTATGTAAAAGAAATAAAGTAGTAATAACGACAACAACAACAACAATAATAATAATAATAAGTAAAAAATGTCACTAAGAATACAACCTTTGACCAGTTGAATATTAACAAGACAACCTTTTGATTATTCCTAAATAATACAACCTTTGAGTGGTGTCAATTATAAATAAGACAAAAAACTTGTAACCTGTCGGACAAGTTACCCAAGACACGTGTCGTCATGTAATTGGTTTGAATATTATATTTTAAATAATTAAATAATTTTAAATACTTATTTGATAAAGTTGCTTAACATTTTTAATTAAATTCTAATTAAAACATTAATAATAATATTATTTTTTAACAATTAAATTATTTTTTCTAAAAAAAAACTAACCCGCCCCTCCATCACCATTCAACCATCCAACCACCTCCCCCTCCCCTACCCTGGCGACCGGCTGTTAGCGCCCAGCCTCCCCTACCGTCGGTCGACCTACCCCCTCTCTTTCCCCCCTTACTCGGACCATCCCCTTTCCCCATCATGCCACCCCACCCCAACTCAAATCCTAACTCCCGAAACTTGTCGTGGTGAGGGAAAGGGAGGGAGGCTGTTTCATGGTGAAGGAAGGGAAGGGTGGGGTTTCGAGGGTTTGAGCTAGGGTGGGGTGACGCAACGGGGGATGGTTGGGGTAATGGGGAAAGTGAAGGGGTGATTCGGCCGGCGTTGGCCATTGGGGTAGGGGAGAGGTCTGTTGTAGAGAATTGGGGGGTGGTTGGGTGGTGGAGGATGGGGTGGTTGATTAATTGGGTGACTTTTTTTAAAATAATAATAATAGTAATAATAATAATAATCTTTGTATATAATAGTAGTAATAATAATAATAATAACAATAATAATAATAATAATAATAATAATAAATTATTATTATTATTATTATTATTAAAAACATTTAATAAATTAAAATAAAATCTAATTAAAGTGGAAAATCAATAAAACAATGACACGTGTCCCTTATAACATGTTAATCAGCATACCAATATGTTTCATCTTGTTTAAAATTGACACTCCTAAAGGTTGTATTATCTAAGAATAATCAAAATGTTGTCATGTTAATATTCAGCCGGTCAAAGGTTCTATTATTAATGACAATTTTTCCTAATGACAACAATAATAATAATAATAATAATAATAATAATAATAATAATGATAGATATAATATCAATAATAACCATAAGCCCATAATGCCAAATTTGAATCATATTTTGTTTTTATTACCTATAATATGTCAAATTTTAATACTTTAATATGTCTTTGTTTAGAAATGTGTCCCTTTTTTGCTAAATTTTGGGCAAAAAAAATTTGAACGCAGATGAAAAGTTCGGGACATGGCTTGTCAATGCAGCACCGGAATTCATCACCCAAAAAGACAACAATAAACAATCATCTTGGGATAAAGCTTATGAAATTGGTCCCGCATGGTTTATAAAAGCGGTTTTGGAGAAGGATCCATCCGTGTTCAATAGTGCACCCTTGGTTTGGACCAAAGCCTGTGAGAAAGGTCATGTCAATGCTCTTTATGCGTTCATTGAACATAATCCTGGAGCATTTCGAGATCTTTGTATTGGACATAAGGATTCACCTTTGCATCACATACGACTCCCAAATTTAACGGAGTACGAAAAGTTTATTAAGATTTCACACATGAAGGATCTAATCAATATTCAAAATGACCAAGATGAGACACCTCTACATAAAGCCATACGAAAAGGAGACATATTCCTAACGGAAACTCTGCTCAACATGGATAAGATAATATATGACATTACTGACAAAACAAATGTGACTGCAATGGATTTGTTGGCTCATGTATACAAGGAAGATAATGCATGGGTATGACTTCTTTCCATAGCTTTTCTAAATTATTGTTATGTTATTGCTTTTGGAGTACGGGTGTAGTTCGATACAGTATGACCATCAATTGTGAATCATTTCAGGGGCATATGTGCAAAAGAAATGGACTTGATCCGACAATAAAAACAACCTACTTTCAACATAAGACGAATTTATTAGATGTGCGAACTTCATTATTCTTAGTAGCAGCTTTGTTAGCCACCATTACATTTACTGCCGGATTCACTCTTCCTGGTGGATTTAATCAAGACACTGGAGAAGCACTTCTAGGCAAGAAGGCTTCTTTTCTAGTGTTTTTGGTATCTGATACATTGGCCTTGTTTTTTTCAATGCTGGTGTTGATATGTCTCACATGGTCCATGGTGTTCAAACCCAGTAAGTCACTAATACTGATTGATCGAAGCATGGTATTACTGAGGATCGCACTCAACTGCACCTTATTGGCGTTTATGACTGGCGTATATATTGTTATGGCCCCAAGGTCCTTGTGGGTAGCCATCCTTATAATCGTCATCATAAGCTTTCTGATTATTATTTCAGTTGATAAAACTTTCTTGTATGAAGTCATGGATAAGCTATTCCTTATTGCAAATAAGAGCAGTAAAGACCCAATGCAACTAGCCGAACTGGTAAGTCTAATAAAAAATTTAATCTCCTAAGTTGATTTTGTTGAATTTCCCACAGATTTCTTCGTTCTCTAGGAACATTTCTTCACCGAAGACTTTCACTTTTTGTCCATTTTTATTTTTACTTTTTAGAGGAAACTCTTATTCAATGCATTCCCATCTTCCTGTTCTAATTTAAGTTAATCACAATGTAAAGAACTTAAAAAATCCCATTATTTATAATCTAATATGCAATCCTATGTTTATTTGTAATGCAGGGGTACTATAAAGATGGGTACAAAGAACTAATTCCATTACTACCCAAAAATGAATTGAACGATGCTAATGAGGGAGATTGAGGAACGTCGATCGGCCAATCTCCAAATGAAAAATTGGATGTTATTAACTTGGTTTAGCTAGCTAAACTCTAATTTGTTTCCTTACATACATGTTTTATCTCCTTCATCATACATTTTATTCAGAGTTCCACTCTATTGCTTAGATGTGTACTCGCATTTTCTTAATGTAGATTTACTTGCATTTTCTTGATGTAGATTCATACGATTTTTATAAATTTCCTACATCGTGTATAAAGGACTATTATTACATAATTACTATGCATTTCCTATTCGAGCCCATGATAGGTAGGTGTTTATGTCAAAAATTGCTTAAAGAGACAACATTTGGTTGGATACCGATAACTAGATCAAAAGGAATATGAAATGTAAATATGGAAATAAAAGAAGATAGACGTGATATGGTGACGTAGAAAACCTCAATGAAGGTGGGTAAAAACCGGGGGTGGCTACTTGTCCACCAATTCACTATGATACGAGCGTTATAGCCATATTAATACAAGTACTTTTCTTATTTGGGTGTCTAAACCATAGTTAATAAAGATATGCATAAGTACATTTCTTATTCGGGTGTCTAAAACATTGCTTTCTTTTGCCATGAAGTTACTAACATTATTCTATTCTTTTGTAGCAAAAAGGTTGCAGCTTTAAAGTAAGTAATTTAATAATCATTTTCAATGTTTCGTTAAAATTATGTTTAAGATAACGTTCTTGTTAGTAACATGCTAGAATTTTATTAATCTTATTAGTATCATGCCTAGGATCTTGCTAATGATGTTGATATAATGATGTTGTCATGGTTTCGGTGCTCCTAATAATATTTACGCTATATTATTTGCTTGAATCATCACCTTTTGTATGTTTAACTAAGAATGTGTAATTAAAAATCACGCCTAATAAGATAATTTGGACAACCGATTTAGGTACCTTTTAATCTTATTTTAATTCAAGTGACCACGATTCTTAGCAATAATATTTGTGCATTAAATATTCAACCAACTTCGCCTAATCTAAATTTGGGAGCGAATTGAACAACTTATTTGCATGTTAGTTGAAAAGCAATGAACGAATAATGTCGCAAGAAGAATCGAGTAGAGGCCCATACAGGCGAAGTTGGCTTAGCTTCTTAACTCAACTTCATACCATCATCCTCGGACTTTCATTTATAGTTCGCAACCACTATGGAGTTAGCAATCTAATAGATAGTGAATGGGGTGTAATCTAATAGATAGTGAACGGTTTACAAGTTCCTAAATAAAACTTGTTGGCGGCTCTTTACTTCCTCCTTGTGATGTACTTGTCAAATCCCACTTCCTACGATCGCTAGACATATTCCCAACATGCCTATGTAGGCGCACTTCGCGCGACGCCTACACTTAATCATGTTCCTTAATGATCAATTACATTATTTATCTTTAAACTGGAATCCCTGACTATACAAGCATGATTTGGTTGGAATCCATTTTATACCTTTGCTAATAAATAATATCGTCATCGTATTATACTAAAACCAAATTCTAAATCAACAAATATTATTGAGTGATAAACAAACAATTGGGAGGAAAAACGTACATTTTCTCAAATTGGCAAGATTGTCTAGGTATGATCATGATCTTAAGGATTTGCTTGAAGAACAATAAACACTAGATCTAGAAATTTTCGAAATAATACATACAAGGGGTATAATAAGCATCCACACAATATTTTATAACATTTAATACTTTGTAACGCAAAGATTTCAGTCACATAAAAAATACTAATGCATTTTATTAATAGCAAGTGGTATGTTTGAATCGGTCAGCAAGTACTCATGTTGTCATTTGATTAGATCATTATTTAGTGATTAGATCATAAGTTAGATATTTAAATATTTTTTTAAGACATGGTTAGCGTGATAAAAACTGGTACAAGACAAGATACTGGAGAAGAAGCTAAGGTGCTACCAAATTAAACCATATTGAATTTGTAAGAGGTAAGCAAAACACAAAAACACAAAATCATAATTTAAAAACATGGCCTCATCAACATCAGCAATGATGGATGAGGAGCTGAGAGATGCAGCCATGAGTGGAGATGTGGAGTTTCTTAGGAAATGTGTGAAATCCAATAAACCCATGGAATACTACAAGTTACTACCCCAAAAACAGTGATGATTCCAATGAAGATGACCGGAGTCATGGAAACATCTTCCACATGGCGGCGTACAATAACAGATAAGAATTTATAAAGGAGGTTATTCAAGCAACAACTCCTCCTCCAACTATGGGAAGCAATGAAATCCAACCCTCTTCATGTAGCAGCAGCTAACGACAATACAGAAACAGTGAGGGTGTTTTCTATACTGGATTTTTTTTTTTTGTTCCCGGAATTAACATTCAAATGTACTAGTAGTTATTTTGCATCTATTATGTATTGCCATTATCTTGGAATAAGATGTTCTTTTAGCTAGGTGAAAGGCAGAGGGTTTGTTGGGAGGAGGCCCCAGTACCTCACAGTGAGATACATAATTGTATCTCACAATGGCAAATTGGTATAAAATGTACCACTTTAGTCACGGTGATACGAAATTGTTCAGGGTGGTAAAAGAAATGGATGATAAAATTGTACCATTTTAGTCACGGTGGTACAAAAACCCCATGTGAGATACTTGTTATGTATCTCACAGTGAGAAACATGGATTTACCCGTTTGTTGGCCTTAATGATGTGTTTGTAGCTGCTAGTTGGGATAAAGGTATGAGAGCAAGAATTGAAGGATCCTGAATAGCTTTTGAATGATGTTCTTTCTATCAAAGTGAGATTCTGATCGAAGACTTGTGAAGCCTTTGTTATGCATCTTTGACATTAGAGTTTCAAAGTTCTAACTGCTACAACTTAACCTAATTAGCCTAAAGCAGAGTTACCAATTCGGGTAAATAGGTCGGGTTTGGGTCGGATAAGTGTGGGTCAGGTCAATTCGAGTTAATGTCGTAACCTATGCGGGTCGGGTTTGGGTTGGGTCAAGCTTGAGTCAAATCACGTCGGGTCATACATCATATCGGGTTTGGGTCAGGTTACATTTGGGTCGGGTGAATAATAGGTCGGGTCTAATTCGGATTTTCACGGGTTAAAATGAGTTAGGGTCATTCTCGGGTTCGGTTCAAGTCAATAATATGCGGGTTATAACCACGTCGGGTCATACTCGGGTTCGGTTCAAGTAAAAAATTTGCGGGTTATAATCAGTCCGGGTCATTTCCAAGTCGGATCATTCTCGGGTTCAAGTTCGGTTCAAGTCAATAATTTTCGGGTTACAATCAAGTCGGGTCATTTCCAAGTCAGGTCATGTTCGGATTCGGGTCTCAAATATTGGGTTAATCTGGGTTTCGGGTTGATTTCAGGTCGGGTCATATCGGGTTCGAGTACATTTTTTGGGTCGGTTTGTTAACAGTTCATGTATTGACGTTTACGTTTAATCATTATCAATTTCTTCATTTATTGTAAGAGAAATAATTGTAGATAAGTTTAAATTCGAGCTAATTAGTTCAAATAAGTTTTGATAAGATATACATAATAAGTTCATAAAAAACCAGTAACAACATAACTATATAACTATCCTTTCATCAATATTAATAAGGTGGTCTACATTAAATTTAAGGTGATTTGAAATCGGATCAGGTCAATAACAAGTTAGGTTGAGTTCGAATGGATTAAGAATAATTCGGGTTGAATTTGGGTTGGGTCAATAACAAGTCATGTTGATTTCGGGTCGGGTTAGTAACAAATTAAATCAGGTTGAATTTCGAGTCGAGTTAAAATTTGGGTCGGGTTAATAACAGGTCGGGTTAAATTCGGGTCGGTTTAGTAACAAGTCGGGTTAAGTTCGAGTCGGGTTACATTCGGGTTTTGACGGGTTAAAACAGGTTTGGGTCAATTTTAATTCAGGTCGGGTTCGGTTCAAGTCAATAATTTATGGGTTATATTCAGGTCGGGTCATCTCCACATCGGTTCATGTTCTGGTTCGGGTCTCAAATACACGGGTTAACTCGGGTTTAGGGTTGGTTTTGGGTCGAGTCATATCGGGTTCGGGTCACCATTTTTCCGGGTTCAAATGGGTCAGTTAATAATCGAATTCGGGTCGAGTCAGCTTTGACAGCTCTACCTAAAACTCTTAACCAAAAGATATACACAGCTATATACCAAGATATATCTCCTTTACATAAATATATCCTAACATCTACGGCTTCACATGTTTAATTACGAACGATAGTAAAAACCGATACCAATTGTTGTTAGATAATATAAATAATATATATACCTCATATTTCCTAAGTAGTTTTCTTAATTAACGATTGCTTATTTTCTCATCAATCACCTATTTATAAGTCCTGTTGTATGTTGTATCCACATATTATTTCGTATTCTCGTACGTAGTATTCATTTATAAATCCTTGTGCTCAACGTTGCGCATATTTTTCAAATGTACACTGTAGTCTAGATATTTGGCATAGTAGATTTAGTGATTAAACGAGTAATGTATGCTTTGTATGCTGTTTGATTAAGACTTTGATGGTCGGATGGTTATTAATTTTAATTACAGGGGTCATATGTCTATCTTTGTTTTGTAAATTCGACGTGTAATGTGCTATACTACCTCCGTCCTTTTATTGTGTGTCCTTTTGATTTTTTTATGGGAAGTAAGGAGGATGGATGAAATAAAGAAATATTACACGAACAAAGATAAAAAAAATAGGAGAATATTTATTTTATGAAAAAAATAAGATGGAGTAAAATAATACTTATATGTGCATTTTATATGAAAAATGTTAAAAAGTATTTAATGACACGGAAATCATTGGTTGTGTAAGAAAATTTTATATGAGAAATGTAAAAAGTTGAGTGAATTAAGACAAATTTTTTTACTTTTAAAGATGGCAAAATATTTTGACACCCAAAAAAAAAATAACTAACAGAGTAACAGACATATAATTTTGGAACGAGGGGATGCGTACATTTCATTAAAATCATTTGAATTGATTGAACCTGCCTGCATTAACGGATGATTGGTCAAATAGAAGACAAGATGAAGTATTGAACTACCCTTTACAGATATATACATCAAACAAAATAGTTAATAAATATATTTTTTTTAATGCAATAGATATAAAGCACCAGTGGTCTAGTGGTAGAATAGTACCCTGCCACGGTACAGACCCGGGTTCGATTCCCGGCTGGTGCAATCTTGTTTTTGTTTTCTTCAACTAATGCCTCCTTTTTCTTGGTAAAATGACTGTTATCCTTAGCTTAATTACGAATACGATTTACTAATGATGCTTGAAGTTTGACTTACAACATAAAAACGAGGAATAAACTAACAACATCAATCCTAGAAATAAGAAGTGATTTCTCCTAAAATAAGAAGAAAAAAAAAAAATGTGATTAGATCGATAACCTTATTGGAATACTTCAGGTCTTCAGCTAGTAATCTCAACCTACAATCCTTACATGGGTTGTTCAAACATACAAAATGCAGGATTCACAATAGTAAATCCTCCATCAACAATAAGATTATGTCCACTAATGAACTTTGATTCATCACTCGCAAGAAATAAAGCTGCATTCGCAACATCCTCCTTTTTACACCAAACACCTTTGAGATTAGAGTATAATTTAGATATACCTTCGTCGTCTAGTTCAAAGTAGGTCTTAGTCATAGAGGTTGAAGTCGCATGTGGTGACACACAATTCACCCTAATCCCATATCCACCAAGTTCAACAGCGGTATTCCTTGTGAGCCCCACCACGCCGTGCTTCGAGCTAGTGTAGGCATGGGGCGCCACACCTGCTATGGTGGAGCAAGTACTAGCCGTTGTAATTATGGTACCTTGTTTGGCCGGGATCATTACTCGAGCCGCATGTTTGGTCCCCAAAAACGGGCCAACAAGATTGACTTTTACAACATCTTCGAACTCCGATAGCGTGTTGTCAAGGATATTGGGCTTAGGAAAGCAACCTATGCCCGCATTATTGAACATGATGTCGAGTTTTCCGTATAGGATCATCGTTGAATCGACTGCGTTTTGTACGTGGGCTTCATTAGTGACATTGCAGTGGATGTATGAGGCTACTGTTGAGCCTAAATCTTTGCAAACAGAGTGGCCCAAATCATCTTGAATGTCAGCAATCATCACTTTTGCACCATTTTGTGTAAAAATTTTAGCTGCATATTCACCAATTCCACTAGCTCCTCCTGTAATAAGGGCAACTTTGCCTTCCAACCTAAAAACAAATTCACATCAATATTAGATTCCTCAACATCATCTTGGGAGGTATTATGTTTTCGTCAAGATCAATGTGAAACTAATTTCAGAGTAGCTAACATATTATTAGTGAGCCACGTCAAATTTAAGTGTTCTTTATTCGTTGATTTTGCGTTATAACATACATGGCATGGCTTTTAAGTGGCTACAAAAAAAAATTGTAGCTATTATATTAGATTAAATCTCAGTTGTTTATTAAATTTGACCAATCCATTAAAAAGGATTCCTAGATGCTATGCAAGTAATCGGAAATAATGAATCCAATCACATCTTAGCCCAATTTGGGAAACAAAAACCACAATTTCAACAAATTGGATTGTAATTTTGCAAAAGAGAAGGCGACATAAATTAGCAATATACATATTCCATTGATGAAAAAAAAAAAAAAAAATAACTGACAAAAATGTGGCTTTTTAAAAAAAGGTAATTTTTTTAAAAAAAAAAATTCAATAAAAAAGTCATCACTTTTTGTAAAATAGTCATCACTTTTTGTAAAATATGCAATTTTTTCAAAAAATTTTTATTAAAAAGTCATTACTTTTAATGACTAAGATTGATGAAATTTAATAAAAGCTTGAGATTAAGTCTAATATAGTGAGTACAATTTTTTGGTAGCCATTTGAAAATTGTAATAAAATTTTTTGGTAGCAGACAAAATTGAAACATTTGCCATCCGATTAACGAATATGGGATATTATTCTTTGAATTTTGCAGAGTTTGCTGTTGATATGTGTGACTGCATAGTGTCTCATGAACCTCTTATAAAGCCTCTTGAATCCACACATTTAAATATAAAGTGGTGACAATGTAAATCATTGAGCTTTAACGGTTACTAGCTCTTCCACATATCAAGTCAAAGATGGTGTTCTTGAGATCTTGACCAGATCTATCTCATTTATAAATATGATGTCATTTTTAAATAGACGAACTTGCAATAACTTTATGAGACAGTTATCTTTAATATTTCCTTTATTTTATGAGCTTTAACGGTTACTAGCTACCCAAACGCTATCTTTACCACCAACCGCTATCCAAACCAATACCTTACAAAGCAATCTTATTTTTCTCTAGCTTGTAGTGTTTTGACATGGTTAAAACCTTAATCACTACCTCAAGCGTTACTGCCAAACAAGTCCTTATTCAAACATACTAAATGCCGGATTCACAATAGTAAATCCTCCATCAACAACAAGATTATGTCCACTAACAAACTTTGATTCATCACTTGCAAGAAATAAAGCCGCATTCGCAACATCCTCCTTTTTACACCAAACACCTTTAAGGTTAGAGTATATCTTAGATATACCTTCGTCGTCTAGATCAAAGTTGGTCTTAGTCAAAGAGGTTGAAGTCACATGTGGTGACAAACAATTCACCCTAATCCCATATTTTCCAAGTTCGACGGCGGTGTTCCTTGTGAGCCCCACCACGCCGTGCTTCGAGCTAGTGTAGGCATGGGGCGCTGCACCTCCTATGGTGGAGCAAGTACTAGCCATTGTAATAATACTACCTTGTTGGGCCGGGATCATGACTCGGGCCGCATGTTTGGTCCCCAAAAACGGCCCAATAAGATTGACTTTTACAACTTCTTCAAACTCCGATAATGTGTTGTCAAGGATATTGGGCTTGGGATAGCTAACTATACCCGCATTATTGAACATGATGTCGAGTTTTCCGTATTGGGCCATTGTTGAGTCAACTGCGTTTTTTAGATGGGCTTCATTTGTGACATTGCAATGGATGTATGAGGCTACTGATGGGCCTAGATCCTTGCAAACTTCTTGGCCCAAATCATCTTGGATGTCCGCAATCATGACTTTTGCACCATTTTGAGTAAAAAATTTTGCTGTATATTCACCAATTCCATTAGCACCTCCTGTGATAAGGGCAACCTTGCCTTCCAACCTATGAACAAAATTTCATAAATTATAAATATTACTTCTTTTTTTTTTTTTTTTTTTTTTTTTTTTTTTTTTTTTTTTTTTTCTGAAACCGTTATAAATACTTGTTCATGGTATATTAAATCAGTTTGTCTTTTTAGGCCTTTTTTTTTTTTGGAAGTTTTATATAAAATCTCTAACTCTGAAACTTGCCTTATTTGTACTTCATATTATGTTTTCCTTAGTATCAATATAAGCGCAGTCTAACCTATATGTATGTTAAATAGCAAGCACATTTATTAGAGAACCACATCAATTCTATGTGCTCTTATTCGTTGATTTTGCACAATCATTTTTCCTTTTGTTATAATATAGAGGTATGCAGTACATCTAAATTGCCAAAACATTGTTTGGATTGTCAAATTGTTAACCTACAAACACGGCGAACTTGGAGATCGTGTGAAGCAAAAAAAATAAAAATTAAATTGAGAATATATAAGTTTAATTACCTTCTAGCCGCAGTGGAAAAGATTGAGACACTTGCCATTTGACGTATAAATATGTATAGGAGAATATAATATTTATATTCTTTAAGTATTTGTTTTCTAATTTTGTAGAGTTTGCAATTGATAAGCTAAGTGTGATTGCTTGGTATATCATAGACGCCTAAAGCCTAATTTATCAAGCCTCTTGAATCAACACATCCAATTATAAAGTTGTGACAAGTTTGCTGGGCTTTTTCTCCTCCACAAGCCAAGTCAAAAGTGGCGTTCTTGATCAACTCTATGGTCTCTATCCCTTGAGAATATAATGTCATCTTAGGATTCAAAATGAGGCGAACCTACAATAATATTACAACACATTTATGTTTAATGATTCCTTCGTTTATTCATGTTGAATTATAATATATAACCTTCCTTTAATAATGTCCCACATTAATAAAAATATAAGAGTTAAATGCTTTATAAGATTAAGGAAGGCTATTTGCAATTCAACCATCCTCGACCTTTGCTCGTTTCTAGTAGCCAATCAAGTTTTTTTGCCCTAATCAAAAAGCGCAAGATGGCCATGTGACTCTCAATTACTGAAAAGAAAACAGAGTGAACACTTGTCTCCTATTATGATTTTGGAATAAAACTTTATACGGAGTATTCAACATAGTATCATAGTCAGACTTAATGATTTTAATAATATACACGCCATATAAGCAAATACAATATAGTTAATACCTTATTTCAAATGCAAATTGCAATAATTGTAATGATTTAGACATTCAACTAATATAGTGCCCGTGCAATTGCACGGTATAATAAGTTCATATGTATAATTTACTTATCAAAATAAATTTAAATAATAGTCAAGTAGAAGTCAAAAGTTACGCTCTAACATATATAGCTCCTAGCTAGAAATATCATAGCATGATTTAACGTTGGTATTTATATAATTGTTCTACTATTATTTTATCTATTACTACCTCCGGTCGCTATTATTTGCAACTTTGGAGGGTTTCACGGTTCACGAAACATAATTTGATAATAAAAGGAAAGGGTACTTTGTACATGTGATTAGGAGGAGAGAGAAAAAATAAAATGGGGGACCACTATATTAAAATCTGATTTTGTACATGTGGTTTGGAGGAGAGAGAAAAAATAAAAAGGGGGACCACTATATAAATGTCTTTTTAACCAAAAATGTTTGTTAAAAAGGGAAAAAAATTGGAAAGTTGCAAATAATGCTGGGCGGCCAAAAATAGTAAAAATTGCAAATAATAGCGACCGGAGGTAGTAAATTCTTTATAGACTTGAATTAAGGATGACAAGTGGGTATAAAAATGTAAGTCTCACACCGCACCCACCCTAGATGGAGCAGATATGGGTCCAACTTTGGCGAGTAAATAGGCAGGTATGAGTACATAAGTCATACCCACCGTGGGTAACGCGTAAGCGGTGGATTTGATGTCATACCCGTCTATTACATACCCGCCTACCCGCTCAATTACCTGCCAACTTATTACTATCACTAATTTTCTTATGTAATTCTTTTTGTATTTGTAATGATGAAGGACTACTTTTTATACAAATAAATTGACTACTTATTACTTGTATAATATATTATTAAATTATCTATTTACAACAATTTAGATAGCATAATGACATATTCTATAGGAAATTATCAAACAAATGTACTATTATAAAACTTTATATGCATGATCTTTCATAATAATGCTCATAGTAGTAATTCGATCTAGAATTTTCAAAGTATATATGGAGAATACATTAGTCCAAATATATATGTACGATTTATTCTAAATATGTGGTCAGCATATATGTAGGTGTATAAATAATTATGTTGTTATTGTCAAGGAAAAAAAATCCACATCCAAGGCCAAATTATCTACCCCTACCCGATATTTATGAGAATCTATATATATCAAACTTAGTAATAATTCAATGAAATATCTTGCAATCTTTTGATAATCTTTTATTGTCAATAATCTTTTGTAATATTCTATTAAATATAATTTAAGGGGGGATTTTTCTGTATGACTGGCCACACCGTGTGGCCAGGGTTACTCAACTTACTCGGTCAAGGGTTACTCGAGTTGTCGTGGTTACTCGAGTTACTCGCTTAAGGGGTACTCGAGTTGCCGGGGCTACTCGAGTTACTCGCTTAAGGGTTACTCGAGTTGTCGGGGTTACTCAAGTTACTCGGTCAGGGGTTACTCGAGTTACTCATGACCAAGAAGTAACCCCATAACAAAATAACCCTTAACCGAGTAACCCCTGACTGAATAACCCTTTAAGTAACCCCTAACCAAGTAACCCCTAACTGAACCCTCAAGTAACCCCTGACCGAGTAACCCTTGACCGAACCCTCAAGTAACCCCTGACCGAGTAAACACCTAACCGAACCCCTCAAGTAAAACCTGACCGAGTAACTCGAGTAACCCATGACCGAGCCCCTCAAGTAACCACTAACCGATCCCCTTAAGTAACCCCTGATCGAGTAACTCGAGTAACCCTGACCGAAACCTTGATCGAGTAACTCAAGTAACTCCTGACCAAGTAACTCAAGTAACCCCAGCCACACGGTGTGACCAGTCACATATAAAAATTTGTGTGATTTTATAAATATTCCAATTAAAATCATTCCAACTCCACCAACTGATAATTCTCATCAAAATCCGCCTTTAATTATTAACTTTTGGGGTAAGATCGAAGACTAACATCCAGCAAGTCTAATACTTATTTACGTAGGATATATACTTCTATAATCCCTCTTAAAATCTAACTTTTGTGCATTCTAAAAGATTGATTTCAGAACATTTTTTAGTAAACAAAAGTTTTTAAACAGCTATTGAGTTATATCAAAGTGACCAGTAGGACTAAGTAGGAGATTATTTTTAAGTGACCAGATTATATTATACACGATGTGTGTTTGAAGTTACTAAAAGTCTAAAACACATTGTGATTCATACTAAGTAGGAGATTATTAAACGTAATTTTCAAAATGGCGTAGATTTTTTACAAAGTACTTTGTATATTATAATATTTTGTACTTAAAGAAAATATATTACAAAGTACTTTGTATATTAAAATATTTTAAGATTTGATAAAAATGATTAAATTAAAAAAAATAAAAAATAAAGAATAAAAAGGCGTAGATTTTTTTTTTTTAATTAGATATAATCATACTTACCGAAATGAGTCAAAAGATTTGAAAGATATTATTTTAAGATAAAAATCAATAAATAACAATTAAAAGATATTATAAAAAAATTCTTTATTTAAGAGTTAGTAAATGGGCGGGAAAATATTAATTGACAGAGTGATATATGTCAGTTTTGCAATCCGTCGGTCAGGTCAGCGAGCAATCCGCCGGTGAGGATGAGTGAGAGAAGATGAAGGTGGAAGAGGAGAAAGAGCGTAATGAAGGAATAAAGGGGCCTAGGGTAAATGTAGGATAATTAATTAGCAGCGGTTCTAAGGAAAAACCCCTGCCAATTAATACTCCAATATTGATAATTTGATATACCGTAAATGTTAATCCACTTTAGTTTGCAGCGAAATGCATAAAATGCAGCAAATGAATAGCAGCAAATAAATTTTTTTCTAGTCGTGTATTAAGCTGGTTTTCCATCTAAGAAGAAGAAAATGCAAGAAAATTCATTGCATTTTATGTAACTCATTACCTAAGCTTATACCCATACAAATGTTAAGCATGGAGTAGAGAGTATTATCTTCTAGCAGCAGCTGAAAACACTGAGACACTTGCCATATTTAGTATCTCCTATGTAGCTCTTCTCTTCACGTCTAGAGCTTTCAAGGTACTGTATTACTAGTGTATTAGTCACAACTCAGTAACTTACATAAATCTCGATACCTTGGCTTTACATAAATCTCGATACCTTGGCGTTACATAAATCTCTTGTATGAATTGTACGATTTTGTCACTAGTCATGTTTTAGTTATTCAAATCATTTATTGAATCATAAAGTGAACCAACAACTCCCGACACAACTCATACCCATTATTTTTCTCTCTTTTTTTTCTTCCCGCAATGTTGGAATTTTATGCTTGTCAATATATATACTTGGAACTAGATTTGAGTATTTTTTTTGTTTGTCATTTTATAATAATATTATAATATGCTTGTCAATATATATACTTCGTACTAGATTTGAGTATATTCTAGCTTTGAGTATTTTTCCGTTTGTCATTTTATAAGAGTTGAAAATTTCGTAGAATATTTTTCTGTTTGTCATTTTATAAGAGTTGAAAATTTCGTACGTAGCTCATTTAGCGGAAAATTTGTCAAATACTTCCAGTAAAAGTACCATCATTTTGCGGGTTATAATTAAATACTTCCTCTGTTTCTTTATAGTTGCAACACTTCCCTAAAATGGAAAAGTCACGATAATTGCAACACACTATAAAAGGAAGATTTTTATGGTGAAAATTGTACCATTACATTTATTTAAAACTCATGCCCCACTTGATTATACTTCTAACAACCTTTTAACTTCATTTTAAGTGTATTATATCATGTGAGATTCACTTTTCTTAAATACCGTAATAAAGTGTGTGTTGCAACTATAAAGAAACAGCGGAAGTATATTTTTGCAAAATACAACCTAAAAACAGTTCCTACAAACCGGAATCCAACCATTTAACGGGATTCTTGGCTACAGATTTAAAAGTTGCGTGTGTTTTTATGTTGTATTTTGAAAAAAAAAAAAGTTGCAACAAGGGAAAATGGATACTTTTGTGGTTACATTATTAGAATGCCATTATACCTAAGAGGTAGGCTTGTACAAAACTATCCGAAAATCCGATCCGCAACCGATCCGAATTTTTGGATATGTGATCCGAGTTTTCATTTCGGATTCGATATTCGATCCGAAAAACCGGATATCGGGTGCGGATTTGGATATTGATTTTCAAAATTTCGGATATCCGAAATATAAAGGCTGAAATAGTGAAATATATATAAATTTTTTAAATTGTTCATATAAAATTGACCCTGTATTATTAACTTATTATAATATTCTTAATATATTTGATGATAATATTTATTGCAGAAAGACTAATATTTTGTTAAAATATGCTGTACAATTTAGCGATGAAAAAACAGTAAAATTAGTGAAATTTAGAAAGTAATCATAATCAATTTAACTTAATATTGGATAATGGATATCCGAAACATCCGATTCGAAAATTTTGGATATCCATATTAGGATATCCAAAATTTTCGGATCGGATTTGGATATCAATTTCTGATATCCGAATATTCAGATATCCGATCCATGAACATGCCTAATAAGAGGTGTCAAAAACTGACACGATTGACCTGGTTGGCAATCACAGGAAAATACAAGTTGATCTTCTTGATCAATTTATTTTGTCAATCAACAGGGTAAAACTGTCTTTTCCATCATTAAACCTGGGGCAGTTTGGTAATATCATTTATTGTGATTTACCATATTTGCCAAACATGCAGGTTGACGTGTACTTGCTGCAATTTACGAACGTTACCAAAATTTTGCCGTTATATGACTTACATCCCCATCTACCCCATGTCTCATAAATGCTTCTACCAACTTTTAATTATTCAATTTTTTTTTTTAAATTGATGTATTGATATTATTGTGTTTTAATATCAATAATAAATGCAACTTTCTCTCTCCTCACTTCTACCATTAACGACCCATCTTCGAAAATCAAGCTCAATGGAGGGAGCTTGATTAGAGGACATGGTCACCCCTTCCCTTAGGGATTGACCATGCCATTAATTTCACCCTTTATTCATAGGGTTTTCGTTTAAGATTGGGGAAGGTGGGTTGAGATCGGGGAAGCTTCAATGGTGGTGAAGATCAGGAAAGCTTCAACGGTGACGGTCGGCTACAACACTAACGGACTCGGGACAAACTCTAACGTCTGTTAAATCATCTGCACTCCTACTCAGCTGCTGACTAATTGCCATCATTCATTGCTCCCCTTATGTGGACGGTTACTGTTCACTTTATTTACAAAAGAGCCATTTTAATTGACAAGTTCAATTGATCAACAAGATCAATGGGGGCTGCCTCGACAATCACCCTGAATAAAATCCGATTTAGATTTTGATTTACGTAAATGCAATAATTTAGCACAACTTCAATTTAAAATAGACCCAATTCGGTCCGACTTAACTAAGGCTGACCAAATCACCCGACACCTCATTGCTAACAAAGTAAGAAAGAAAGAAAGAAAGAAAAAAAAAAGTGATTAGCAACCCAAAATAACAGAGAACAGAGTGACCGACTGAACCAAGGGTCAACATTCCATCCCAAAAACCCAATCAAATAATCATGTCGTGCGACACCACCAAACAGATCTTCCTCCTCTCCGGCCAAAGCAACATGGCCGGCCGAGGAGGCGTCGTTAAATTCACCGACCACCACCACCATCACCACAAGAAATGGGATGGCGTTATTCCGCCGGAATGTCAACCCCACCCTTCAATCCCCCGCCTCAACGCGCACCTCCATTGGGAACAAGCGCGTGATCCACTACATTCCGACATCGATAGCCGAAAAGTTTGTGGGGTGGGACCCGGAATGCCATTCGCCAACGTGGTTAGGGAGCGCGTGGGTGGGACTATTGGACTTGTTCCGTGTGCCGTGGGCGGGACCGCGATAAGAGAGTGGGCGCGTGGGGAACACTTGTATGAGAATATGGTGAAGAGAGCTAAATGTAGTGTGGAGAATGGTGGGGGTGAGATTAAAGCAATGTTGTGGTATCAAGGTGAGAGTGATGCCACGGCGGTTGATGCTGACGCGTATAAAGTGCGATTGGAGAAGTTTATTTGTGATGTTAGGGAAGATCTTCAGTTGCCATTGCTTCCTATCATTCAGGTACTATTGTACATTTGTACTGCTTTACTTTTTTTTTTTTTTTTTTTTTTTTGGTTCATATGAGCCAGCGGGGATGAGAATCGATCCTAACATCACCTTTAATTGGGAGGAAAGCTCTTACCAACTGAGCTATCCCTCACTCAGAACCAAGAAGTCAAACAATGCTTGTTGTAGACTTGTAGTTATGAAAACATTGATGTGTGAATATATACCTCGTACTCGTATATTATAAAATTTAGGAGTTACTGAAAATGCTTAATTTGTTTAGGTGGCACTCGCATCTGGGGATGAAAAATACATAGAGAAGGTGAGAGAAGCGCAACTTGGGATCAAACTCCCAAATGTTGTTTGTGTGGATGCCAAAGGATTGAAACTCAACGACGACAATCTTCATTTATCTACCGAAGCCCAGGTTCAATTAGGTCAGATGTTGGCTGATGCTTACCTCTGCCATTTTAATCCTTCCTCCTCTTAGGATCTACATAATGCTGCATTACTACGTGCATATGTTGTCATTTGGATAACTTATACTTCTTATGCAGTTTTATATTTCTCTGTATTCAATAAATCAAAATATTTTTGATCTGTTTTTATTGCTCTCATAGCTGTGTGTGGAAATCCTCTTTATTTTGTCTCTATCACCGTTGTTAATATCATGACTGTTTTTATACAATGGATATATTTGCATACAATGATTGAAGTTCTCTCAAATCTTACCAATTGTATACTCTGTATCGGTTTGTTATAAGACTTGCTATTCGAAAATCTGAATATTTCTATCTATGTGATGGATGCATGCTCTGTATAGCTAACATAAGTAATGTAATGTTAGTCGTTGGAGTACCATGAAGATGCTTGTTATTGACTTAATGTGTAGAGGCTTTGGCTATGAATTCTATCTGCAAGGGTATAGAGTTCAGAATTTTAAATTTGCAACTTGCAAATTGTAAGTCAATGTTTATACCATACATCTCCGGAAATGAGGGAAAAGACAACTGTAAAATGTTAAAGAAATGGAATGAATAGCATAAAAGAACCTAGATTAGAATAATGATGCATTTTCAACAGAATTCTTCATCTTCAATCATGTCATGCGAGGATTCCAAAGAGATCTTCATCCTCTCGGGGCAGAGCAACATGTCAGGCCGCGGAGGAGTCATTAAGTACTCCGAGACTGACCAGAAATGGTATGGTGTTGTTCCATCCGAATGTCAGCCTAACCCTTCAATCCTCCGCTTCAGTGCTCAACTCCTTTGGGAGGAGGCGCATGAGCCTCTACATGTTGATATTGATACGCAGAAGGTTTGTGGGGTTGGGCCTGGCATGCCCTTTGCCCATAAGCTTATAGAGCGCGTGGGTGGCACTGTTGGACTCTTGCCCTGCGCTGTGGGTGCATCTGCGATCAGTGAATGGGCACGCGGAACACCCTTGTACAAAGGTATGCTGAAGAGGGCTAAAGCTGCAGTGAGGAGAGGTAAAGATGAGAGTGAGATTAAGGCATTGGTGTGGTACCAAGGAGAGAGTGATACATTGACGGAGCATGATGCGGATGCATATAAAGAGAGGATGGAGGAGTTTATTTGTAATGTCAGGGAGGATCTTCAGTTGCCATTGCTTCCAATTATTCAGGTAATCTACTTTTAATTTAAGACCAAATTTTTATGTTTTTTTCATGGCTTTCTTATAATAGCAATTACCATAATGTTTCTATCCCGCCTTAACACTTTGTTTGGATAGAAAGAAATGGGAAGAGAAAGGGAGGGAGATAAATTCTCTTGTTTGGTTAAGGATTGGGGGAAGGAAGTGGAAGGAGAGGGACAGATCCATTTTCCCTCTCTCTTTAATAAGCATAATCCGTCCAAAATTGGAGAGATTTGGGGGGAAAATGGAGCTCACCTCCCCCTTCCTTTCTTTTCCCTTCCCTTCATTCTCCCCCCCCCCCCCCTCCTTTCCTTCCTTCTTTGTTATCCAAACAAAGCGTAAGATTTCAAATAAAGTTTATAATTGTTACTATACTACTATATAGACGTGACAACATGCCATTATTATGTAAAGTCTTGTATGAAATGGTCTCACAATAATTAACTAAATTGGTCCTATATAGGACTAGAGCGATTTTTTAGTTTCTTTTTTGCAAGTAAATTTTGATACATGGGGTTAAGTCAATGTAAGATCGTCTCATCAAATAGTTACTCTATTACTAACTTATTCATACGAAAGTTATAGCTTGGAATATATGATAAGAGAATGGTTAATTTCTGTAGGTGGCACTTGCATCCGGGGTGGACGAACAATACACAGAAAAGGTAAGAGAATCACAACTTGAGATCAATCTCCCCAATGTGATATGTGTAGATGCCAAGGGGTTGAAGCTGAAAGATGATAATATGCATTTAACTACTGAATCCCAAGTTCATTTAGGACAAATGTTGGCTGATGCCAACCTTACCCATTTTTTATCCTTCTTTTCAACAAAGAAAGAAACAAGCCTGTAAAATTATGGTTTTACACAACTTGTTAGTCTCGTTTGTATTCTTATTTTACATGAACCAAATTCTACTTGTATGTACTGATTATGTATTAATTCTTCTTTATCTCTCTTTTGTTCTATTTTACAAGTGTTTGTATCGGGTGAAATTAATACAAGTAGATACGGTGTATAAAGAGAAAAGTTCAAAGTGTTTTGACTCTTCTCAACCAAATGTGGTTTTTTTCATTTCTTTCGTGAGAATGATCTCCCAGTTTACTTGTGTATTCATTCAATATTCAAACATATCCCGTATCACATATGCGTTTCACGTAAAGTACATCGTATTAGTTTAATATAAGATGCTTAAAAAAGACCCAAATAATGGTTGGTTGTAAACGTGCACAGCAATAAAGCATGCGGGCCGATGCGTTAAAAGGGGATGGAATCAGGACTCAGGATCCCAAATTTGCAAGTTGCTAGTCAAAGTTTACAATACACCACAATTATAATTACACAATACCCCAAACTTTGAAGGCTGAAAAGCACAGCACAGAGAATGAGGCTGATACAAATATAAAATGTTGAGTACGATCCAATGTAAAAGAAAAAAGAATCAATTTTGAAGGCTATACCAAAATGAGTCCCACCACTTAATGCTTTTGTTAGGTGAAATTTACTTTAGCCGCAAATCACTGAATGACAAGTGATTAAGCAGGATTTATTTAAGTCATTAAGCTGCCCTTTGTTGCTTTTAATAGTTCTAAGTGCACTTTAGCACTAAATCTACTACTTACGATTTAAGTGATCAAGTCTATAGTTGAAAAGGAATCACGCTTCACACGGTCACTTGTCACTCTAGCTTACGTTTCTATGTGTAACTTTTACAACAAACTTTGTTCAATTAGACTTTGGAACATACACAAATGACAAAATCAAATTAAAAGGCGATAAAATCACTTTCCTGATTAAAGTAACAATTAATCTAAACTTGAGATCAAATTGATCGATTTTTTGGGTTAGACACTTTAAATATGAAGAGGAAGGATAAGGAAAATTTCTACCTTTAAAGTACCCTAATGAAAAATAAACTATTTAATTTAAAAGTAGAAACGATCGATTATCGCCCAAACCGAAAAAAGTGTGGGTTTAAAAAACCTAAAAACACAATTTTAGTTAGAAACTTGACCCAGCTCAAAAAAACCCTAAAGGCAAATTTGACTCCACAAACCCTGTATTTATAACGAGTTTAGGCATGAAATCTAAAGTATTAAGACCCATGTACTCAAACCCAACCTTGAGATTGAAAAGACTAGATTAGAGTCATTAGACGATTACCATTGTCATTTTATTTTACCAACCCTAAATTACAACAGAGTAATCACTTACCAGTCACCAACCCCCAAATACAAGGAATCAACCATAACCCCACTCTCAAACCCTTACCGTCAATCTCACGCTCCACCTTCTCAACCACCACACTCCCTATTTTCCCGCGCAGTTTCACAGCACGTGCACTCACATCTCCCTCTTTCTCTCTCCTCCCCCTTCACTCTCTATCTTTCTCTCTCCTCCCCAAAACCCCCTTTAAAACCCCACCATCTTCCTCACCCCAACAATCCTCCCTCCTACGGCGGCGCACCATCCTTCAACCCCAGAAAAAAAGCTTCAACTCTCCCATTTCTTCCTCAACAATGGCGGCCGCTTCTTCATCTGCTTCAACAGCTTTACTCTCCAAACAATCTCTAACCCCTAAACACAGATTCCTCCACCCCACCTCCATTTCCCCCAATTCCCAACTTTCTCTCTCCTCTAAACTCTCCCTTTCTCCCTCGATCTCCCTCTTCTCGCACAACCCTTCTCGCCACCTTACCCCCACTACCCCCCGCCAAAAACTTGTCGTTTCCGCCTCACTTGAATCGAAACCCACCGTTTTGGTCGCCGAAAAGCTCGGTGATGCTGGGTTGGATCTTCTGAAATCGTTTGCGAATGTTGATTGTTCGTATAATCTTAGCCCAGAAGAGCTTTGCACTAAGATCTCTCTCTGTGATGCTTTGATTGTTCGGAGTGGGACTAAGGTTACTCGTGAGGTGTTTGAGTCGTCTGCTGGGAGGTTGAAGGTGGTTGGAAGAGCGGGTGTTGGGATTGATAATGTAGATCTGGGTGCTGCGACGGAGCATGGGTGTTTGGTTGTTAATGCTCCGACGGCAAACACCATTGCGGCGGCTGAACATGGGATTGCTCTTTTGACAGCTATGTCTAGGAATGTTGCTCAAGCTGATGCTTCTGTTAAGGCTGGTTAGTTTTTCTGTGAATTTTTCTTTTCCGGCATTTTGTCGAACAGATTGTGGGCATTATTTTAATTTTTTGTTTAATATTTTGTTTGTGATGTTTTAGGGGTTGCATTTATTGGGTTGTTAGATCTGTTTAATGGGAATTCTGGGTTTTTGTTGTTTTGATTGAATCTGGTTTCTTGCATGTGGGATTGATTGTTGTGATTTTAGGTGTTAATTGTAAATGGTATTACAAGGTAGGTTGAATTTGGTACTGATTGGTTTATTTAGAGATGGTAGTTGTTAAGATTAATGCAGGGTTTAAGCTATTCTTATTGAATTATAGCTATACAAATGGTCATGAATAGATATTAGTATCCTCTGTTTTGGTGTTATTTTGTTGCCTAACAAGCTTAATTGTATATGATTATTATGGATTGTCAAATTCTTTTCAATGATGTGTATATTGTTTTATCTATGACAATGCAGGGGAGTGGAAGAGGAATAAGTATGTGGGTGTATCACTTGTGGGAAAGAAGCTTGCTGTTTTGGGTTTCGGAAAGGTTGGGTCTGAAGTTGCGAGGCGTGCCAAGGGGCTTGGCATGCATGTGATTGCTCATGATCCCTATGCACCAGCTGACCGTGCCCGAGCTATTGGAGTGGACCTTGTTTCCTTTGAAGAGGCCTTAGCAACAGCGGATTTCATTTCCCTACACATGCCTCTCACCTCTTCTACAACAAAGGTGCTAAATGATGACACTTTTGCTAAGATGAAGAAAGGTGTTATGATAGTGAATGTTGCTCGTGGTGGAGTGATTGATGAGGATGCTCTTGTTAGGGCTCTAGATTCTGGGATTGTTGCTCAGGTAACTATTAGCTATTGGTTAAAAGAGTACCTTTTTTCCATTGTTTTTGTTGGAAGATATGAAGTATATAACATGAAACGTTTCTTTTCCAGGCTGCACTTGATGTCTTCACACAAGAGCCACCAGCTAAGGACAGTAAGTTGATACAACATGAAAGAGTTACTGCAACTCCACATCTTGGTGCTAGTACCATGGAAGCTCAGGTAGGTTGAGTGATACACACTGAGAAATGGCGATAGTATAATACTTTTATTTATTGTGTCATTACAAAGTAGTGTTTGTTCTGCAGGAAGGAGTAGCCATTGAAATCGCAGAAGCAGTTATAGGGGCCTTGAATGGAGAGCTTGCTGCAACTGCCGTGAATGCGCCAATGGTTCCTGCTGAGGTAAACATATTGCCTTAACCCTTCAGAAGCCATTCAAAAATGACTTTTTTGTGATTTAGTTCATAGTTATGGCTTCACCACTACAGCTGCATTTTTTCAATTTTGGTATCTGGAACATGCTTCTATTTGTTGATAGTTGCTCTTTGCATGGCCTTGTTTTGTTCTATGGTTGGTTTTGGATATGTATACATGGAGTGATCATTGTAATTGTTTATGAAAAGATACATGCTTGTAGGGAAAATACAAAATATTATATCACATAAGACACTTGTATAAATTGCTCACATAGTTATCACCATCCCTTTAATCAATGTATTATCTTATAGTAGCAAGTGCAGTAACAATACTACACTAGATGTTTTCAGCAAGCATGTTGGATTGTTTTTAGCTGTCAGTTTATGTGCACTTTAAGTTTGTAAGCCTATTGATTAGTTGGCTGACCTGGCTGTGGGTCTGGTGTGCTTGAAACATTCTGACATGGTGAAAATAGATCTTGTGCCGCTTTGTTTGTAGATGCATAGAAAATTTACATATTTCTGCAAAAACAAATCCTTGCCACTTGTACGTTACATATCCTTCTTTGAAGGTACTCTGTGATGCTTGTTTGTCGACAGAATTTGAACTTGAAGTACACTATTAACTTCACTCTCTGATCCTCTTAAGCAGCCTATGAGACCTTGCTCATAATTTGGTGATTACCCAGTCCACTATATGGCACTTGCTTTTTTATTGTTCCTAGAATTTAGTTTTCTGCTATTTGTTGCAGCTTTGAGTCCTTGAGTTACTTCCAATGCTCATTGAAGTATTGAAACCTTCTCGTGTTTATTTATTTAACAGCCAGTACTGAAAATCTTGATACTTAAATTTAGTTCGTGTCTTCTTGTCATATATTTTATATCATTGCATTTGGTTTCTCAGAAGAACCCAAGGCTTTGTTTTCTGCAGAAATAAAAGATTTTTATTAGGACATACCTTTCTTCCTTTGGCCCTGTATTGGCCTCTTCTCCTTTAGATATCTCCATGTTGGTCCCAGGTGATGTTCCTGTGTATGTTTCAAGAGAGTGTGTGTGTGCGCAATACTACTAAGTGCTTGTGTCTTGGAAATTAAAAAACCAGAGGCAACTAAAGCTTTGAATACTGCATGTGTTTGATTTCCATCTGTATTTGTTTGCTCAGGTCCTTAATGAGCTGAAACCTTATGTTGAACTTGCTGAGAAACTTGGTAGACTGGCCATCCAACTGGTAGCGGGTGGGAGTGGTGTTAAATCTGTGAAGGTGGGTTATGCAACCTCAAGAGCACCTGATGATCTTGACACAAGGGTGCTCCGGGCCATGATTACCAAGGGTCTGATTGAGCCTATTTCCAGCACCTTTGTAAACTTGGTAAATGCTGATTTCACCGCAAAGCAGAGAGGACTTCGTATTACTGAAGAGCGCATTCTTCTGGATGGATCACCTGAAAGCCCACTGGAGTCTATCCAGATCCAGATTGCCAATGTGGAATCTAAATTTGCCAGTGCAATTTCAGATTCTGGGGAGATTAGACTTGAGGGAAGGGTTAAAGATGGAATTCCACATTTAATAAAGGTTGGCTCCTTTGAGGTTGATGTCAGTTTGGAGGGTAGCATTATTCTCTGCCGACAGGTTGATCAACCTGGAATGATTGGAAGGGTGGGAAGTGTTTTGGGAGAAGAGAATGTGAATGTCAGTTTCATGAGTGTTGGAAGACTGGCTCCTAGAACCCATGCTGTGATGGCTATCGGGGTTGATGAACCACCTAGCAGTCAGGTATTGAAGAGGATTGGTGAAATTCCAGCCGTTGAAGAGTTCGTATTTTTGAAGTCATGATGTTCTTTCCTGCACCACTGTGGAAGTGCTAGCTCTGAGAATGGCAGCAATGCAGATTAGATTAGCTATTGAGTTTTGAAATGGACCGAGGATATTTTGGCAATTGGAGACTTTTGTATTTCTGAAGTTATGATGCTCTAGTTAGTAGTCCAAGATGATACCAATTTTGGTGGAATTTGTTGAATGTAACAAACTTGCAACTTGTATCCGGAGTTTTTAATAATTTGGAGTTGAGGAAGAGTTTGCTCGTTTTAGCACCTACTACTCATCCCTTTTCATGTCTTTCTCTAGGAATGTAGCAATGACTAGAAATTTGGTTAATCAAGAAATCCAAATTTGTGAAAAATGGTGGTTGGTGACAATTTGGTAATGAAAACTGAGGTGACAATTTTCACTTAGTCACAAATTTAGACTAAGCTTGCAAAATACCTTATGGCCTGTTTGGTAACTAGAATGAAATTCTGGATTTGGCCCAATTATGCTGTTTGGATATGCTTAGAATTTGAGAATTGAAATTGGCCCAAATCCAAGATTATAAAGACATGAGTATTTTTTGATATATTGAAATTCCTACCCTAAAACCTGTCAATTCAAATTCTAATATTCATAAAAAAAAATCCAACCCTCTTTCTCTCCTAAGTCGTACACAAGTTTCATCATTTTCCCTAATTTTTTCTCTCTCCTAGGGTTCTTCACCATTGAAGCATACACAAGTTCTCTCGCCCCTCCTCCGTTGAAGCGAGCTTCGAATTTCTTGCTCGACCATTAGAGTGTACCCTATTTAAAATGGCTGATATTTGCTCGACCAATTTTTGAAATTTGCAGCAGATCTTTGAATTCTCCATTAAAGCGGCACGCGAGCGTTCTCTCTCCTCCATTGAACCAACATTACAACTTGATACCAACATTGCAGCAAGCAAAGCAAATTTGGGGATTTAAGATTGAGGAGGAGAAAGAAAAAAATTGGGGAAGAGGATGAAACTTTAGGAATTTAAGATTGGGCAGAGGAAGAGATGGAAATTTGGAATTGAAGAATGAGGAGGAGAGACATAGGAAATTTGTGAAAGTTAAAAGTGTAATTTCATTTGCTTAATTCAAAATTTCACTCATTTCCAAACATAGGTTAGAATTTGAAATTTTGGGTGGAATTCTGATATTTCCGAAACACTCAATATTGAAATTGAATATCAAGATTTCAAATTGTGAAATTCAATTCCAACATTTGAAATGAATATCATGTTTTCAAACACAACCTTATGTAATTTTTTCCCTTGATCTTATTTACGGACTTCCATGTTTTTTCTAATTTCCCCCCCTCTATTACATTCTCCCCACCATTACACATTGTCATCTACAAGAAAGCAATTGTTAACCTTGTTGCATACTTGCATTTGCTTCGGTCAATAATGATTCCAATGAGCATTAATAAATTTATTAAGTGTCATACTCCCTCCGTCCCTTAATGATAAATTTTAGTCCCAAAATGTTCACCCCATTTCTTTTTTCCAAACCATAAATATTAATTTTTTTTACCAAAATTCCCTCCAATTTGCAACAATATATGTGCAAATTTAATTTTTTCATGTACTTTTATTACTTTCTCTGTTTACATTTTTGCATACCCCATGTAAATTTACATTTTCAATGTACTTTTACTACTTCTTATTTATATTTATTAATCCCCGTGAAAATTGCCCATAAGAGGCGATTATTAAGGGACTGAGGGAGTATTATTAACACATTAGCTAATACTCCGTATTTTGTTCATATGCATGTCATTACTGAATAAACTTAAGTCTACTCCTAGTAACAAATTTACCAAATTTTCTAAATGGTGTAAATTGAGGGAAAATCTTGACATTTATTCAGAATACTGTTGTTAGTCTGTTAGATTATAATCGACTTTTCTCAAAGGGGCATTGTTGTCATTTTGAGTAAGTAGGTGCGGTAAATTTGTATTTTCATCCTTAACAGATTTTAACAATTTGCTAATTTTGTGAATTCAATTGAAATTCAATGAGTTCTTTAATGGAGATTTCAAAAGTTCAAGGACTGCTTCAATAGAGGGACATAACATCTACTATTAATCAAGTCCTATACTTCTCCCTTTATTCTTATGGTTTTCATTTAACTTAGCGGCTTCGACACCGAAAATGATGGTGAACATGTCGGTGGAGACAAAAGGTGTCGAAAATGTTGGAAATGGGGGTGTTGGTGGACAAAAACTCAAGCTCCTTCAATGGCGTTTATTATGGGAAGAGGAGGAAGAAGAACAATTAAGGTGGATGGGAAATTAATGGTGTTAGACCCTGTCCATTTCACTTTATATTTGTTGAATTGAAATTATTTTTATTGAACTGAAATTAATTTTGCTGAATATAAATTATATTTAATGAAATGAAATTAATTTTACTGAATTGAAATTATTTTTACTAAATTGTAATTATTTTAACTGTATATATTTTTTTTAAAGGTGAATTGAAGGAGGGTCTTAAATGAGAAAAAAATAATACTACGTAGTATAAAATATTGATTAATGTACACTTATTTACATTTATGCTCAGGGCTTGCTCCACCTTAATATAAAAAATAAAAATAAAAATTGTGTTTGCTAAAATAAAATTCTTTTGCAGACCCCTCGAACCCCAGACCTTCCATCATCTCCCTCATCTTCCACCACTTTTCTGTCAAAACCACCCAGGAAAACCCCCCAATTCCCGCCTTCCTCAACCCCCAATTTCATCCCAAACATTCAAATTCCTCCTTACATCACTCCATGAAACTGAAATTCAATTCCATCATCTGATGTTCATCATCATCACCCACTAAAATCAATGGACACGATCGTCCACTCTGCACTCGAGGAGATCTGCATACAAGGTGTTAATGGCGTCTCACTCTCCCTCCTCTGGCCTCGCCTTCACTCTTCTCTCTCGTCTGCAGAAATCAACCTCTGCCCTGCTGTAAAGCGGGCCGTATGGTCGGGCCTTGTTGCTGTTCCGGGCCTCCAGTTTAGGGATGTTAATGGGTCGGAATTACCCGACCCGAAATCGAAGTCGGTTGAAGAGTGTGAGAGTTTGGATGTGAAGGTGGTTGCTAATGAGCAGCTTCGAGGATGCTTTGTTGGGTTGTATGAGGTTAAAGCTTCCAATATTACTGCTCCTCAGCAACGGGTTCTTGAGCGTCTTGCTCTTGCTAGGTATTGCTATTTGTTTTTTGGGGCAATTTGGTTGTGATTTTTTTGTCAATTTGGGGATGAATACTACCTAAAAGTTTATAAACGACTCATAATTTGATTTTCAAGTTATCATCATTTTGTCAATCTAGTTTGAAAGGGTGATGAATATGATCCTAGGGGTCCAGTGTAGAGGCACGATTGGTGGTATTGTAGAATCAAGATACAACTTTTGTCTGATTTCAGATTATTGTAGGCTTTAATTTCTTACTCTACACTATTTTGAAGTCTCTTTGCCATTTATAATCACATAGATTGATTGCATTTGCTCAGGGAAACTGGAGTGACACAGAATCAACTCTCTAAGGACCTTGGGATACCTGGAAACAATATCTTTTATGTGGTCAAGAGGCTTCAGTCCTGGGGTTTGATTGTTCGGCAGGAAACAATAGTGAGAACAAAAGAAACATCTAGTGACAAGTTGCCAAAGAATAGTCAACCTGTGCGTACCAATCTCATTCACTTACATCGCTATGCGCTGCCTTTGAGCTCTCAGCAAAGACTTGAGATTACAAAAGAAAACAAGAATTTGGAAGAAAACCTTGGAGAAAATGTCAGTGGTGCTGACCTTGAAGAATGTGGCCAAGATGATGTGCGTGTCAAGGATTTCTTGCCTGCAATCAAAGCTGTTTGTGATAGACTTGAGCAAGCCGAAGGCAAGGTCTGCTCTATTTGAATTTGTGAATCTGAATAATTTTTGTCAAGGCATCTTTGAATTATTGGTTACCTAGTATTATTGATTGCAATGGTCACCTTATTTTTCAATGGCACTTTTTTTCCTTGAAGGTTCTCGTGGTCTCAGATATAAAGCAGGAACTTGGTTATCGAGAAACGAAAGGACACAGAGCTTGGAGAAACGTAATGTTTTCTTTATCTCATAGTCTCATGCCCATCGGTTATGTTGTATGACTGCTAATACACTCTCAGAAAATTGTCTGTCTGTCTTCATGATGCTGGTTTTCAGATTAGCAACAGGTTGAAGCAGGCTGGTCTTGTTGAAGTATTTGAGGCAAAAGTAGATAGCAAAGTGGAAACCCCTACGAAATCCAAAAAGGGCAGATCTAGAGGGCAAAACAAGGTATTACTGCTTCATAATGGCCCTCATTGCCTAGTTGGGAGTTCAATATGCTCTTTTTGCTCTCATGAAATTTAAAAATTATATATGTGGTCATGATTGTAATGTGATATGAATGAGATCTGACTTGAAATATTCGTCTCATGAAGCCAAAAGGATAGAGAAATTGGAGAAATCACCAAAATAGAAATAAAAAATAAAAATTGGAGAAAGTTTTAAGCTCACCAAATTTCTCATAGCAGCTAATTGTGAGGGTCTTATGGACTAATATGTATTTATTCATTGAAAGTAAGTGTATACTTTTTCCAAATGACTTTTCACGTTTACCTATGCATAATTTTGACCATCAATATCTGTATATAATTGTCTATACGTAACAATTATAAAAATCTGATTATAGTAGGAAAATAGAAAGCAAATATTGAGATAAATTCAATACATTATACAGTGCTTAAACTATCACTTGTTATATATTTGCAGAAAAATATGGTCAAAGGAAGATACATAAATATTGTCATAAGTCAATATGGAATAATTTAAAAAAGGGACATAGGCATGTCACTCTCAACTCAATTCTCTTTGTCGATATCCAATTTGAAATTTTCTTGATTTACTCATCCCAAGTCTTTAAATATGATGTTATCAATAGTCAGTCGTTAGTTCCTCCTTTTGTTCTGTCCTATAATTTTCTTATTCTACGTATGTCTCTTGCTACTCTTTTTAAGATGAATAATATATTTCTTTTTTCTGGCATTGGGCAGCCTGTCAGTTGTTTGCGATTGCTGAAGAATTTTTCTCCAAAGTATTTTCAACAAAAGAATCGAGATGGCAAGTATATTGCCTCAGAGCAGCTTGTGGAGCTTCCTTTTGAGCAACAAATATATGACATGATTGATATTGAAGGATCTAAGGGGCTGCGTGGAGTTGACGTATGTTCATATCTTTCTTGATATTTTTTCAGACTAATGGCTATATGTCTTTACCTGTTTCTAATTAGTCATCCCATGCATTATTTAAAGCTTTTATTGCTCCCATAAATATCCGAGAGTCATAGAGAAAGTTTAAAGGACGATACTTTTGAATGAGTATTGTGGAGTTAACATGTGATAACAGATTTGTGTCCGTGATTATTACTGTTAGCTATTTGAAACCAGTTAGGATATATGTTACTAAATTATATTATTTCACAGAGGGAAGTGTACATACAGCACTCTATCTGTTTTATCAAGTGGAAGTGGCTGACTGGCAGTGATATTAATGTTTAGAGAATTGCGTATTGTGTGTTGGGAACACGTGTATAGGTACTCTGGAATACTTTTGGGTTATATTAAGATAATAAGGAAGCATATTGCGATCTCGTACTCTTACTACATATTAGGTTACCCTGGTCATAAACAAGGACTTGTAATTTGACTTCTTCTTCTTCTTCTTTTTTTTATTTTTTAAGGAAGTAATTTGACTTTAATGTAGAGAAATAATAACTGGAAAGAAATGCTGTAGGGACATGTGAAATGGAACTCTATTAGAACCTAGGTTTGATAGTTGACTAATTTGTTTTATAAGCATGCTAGCTGCAATAGACTAAAGGATTGAATTTTGAGATACCAATTCATATTTAATACTAGGCGTTTTTTTTTTTTTTTTTTTTTTTTTTTTGGTATAATCTTATTCTAAATGAATGTATTCATGCACACCTTTATTTCTCTTGGATGCTCTTTCTTTTTCTCACTTTACTCACCTTTTTTTCAAACTCTTTCAACTGATTATCTTGTTATGTCCCTTTTTATATCGCACGGTTTCTTATGACGATTCATGTTAGCCGACCCCAAATCATTTTGGGACTAAGGCTTTGTTGTTGTTGTAATGTATTCATGCACAATTGCATTTAATTATATTTTACTTTTGTACTCCGTATGTGTTTGTGTGAATTAGTTTCTTAAGTTTCATTCACATCTAAAATCCTATATGAGCAGGTTTGCGGAAGGCTTGGTATCAGCACTAAAATGCTCGACAACCTGACCAATACAATGGTCTCCCGGTTTGGTTTGCATCAGCTTTCAGAAACCCTTGAGAGAGGGTCAGCTTATCGGTTTTGGACAAAAGGAAATTTCTGTCCTGAATTACCTAATTCATCATTCAACAGATTACAAGATGGCTCTGGTGGGCATCCATTAGCTTTAGCATCTATTCAAGAGCCAAATCATGGTGCAAGCTCCCAAAGAACCATTGCTGATATGGATTCCTTAAACTCACAAAAATGGCTAACTGGAGATAATATGGAGAAGATAGATACTGAGCAAGAACTTGAGCATGAATCTCAGCAGGGCAGAGGATCAGTCCAAATTGTTGCTTGTCCTGGAGGTTCACCAGGTTTAGCCCTTGATATAAGCAATATTGTTCCTGGTTCAGCTAGTGGAAATGAATGTAATGGTACAACTGAGGCGTTAGCAAATTCAGTATCCATGCCATTTGAACTTCAAGAAGGCCAAAGATATCCATCATTAACTAATGCTCAGAGAGAGATACGTTTACTTGAAAGACTCAAGGTTTGTTTATAGTTTTTTTCATTCTCTGTACTTGTTACTGGTCCTGGTTATAAATCTTGCAGTATCAGATAAGTTTATAGTCTAATAGACAACAAAGAAAATATTGTTTGCTATGTAGCAAGATGTTACTACTATAGTAGGGGTTTTGTCTTGTTTTGCACATGTTCTGTGCAAAATTGCAGAAGCCCTACGACTAACTTGTGAAACCTGGGAAGGATGTCGACGGGGGTTGGCTGGTAGATAATATATTCAGTTAGCTAGTGGTAGGTACTGGTAGGTTTTACAGGCCTTTGCTATAGGTTATGAAAAATGTCTAAAACATAACTTTAACCTATGATTCCTACAATCCTACTGCTGTATGTCTGTGAAAAATTATACAGCTAATCCTATTGATCTTGATGAATTGCATCATTTTAGTAGTTTTTGTTGAAGTAATAGACTTATATGAGTTAGCAATAGCATGATCTTTGTTTATATTCTTTGTCTGTGCTCTTCAGTTCTTTTGTATATACCTCAATTATATACTTGCATTTCTGTCCAAAATTTCTTCATATTTGCAGACTGAGAAAATCATTGTTAAACCTGAGCTGCAAAGGTGGCTTGAGAGTTTTGAGAAGGACAAGAAGACAAGAATGGACAGAAAGACCTTGACACATTGTCTGAATAAGCTTGAACGAGAAGGGAAGTGTAAACTCATGGTCTTTAGTATACCAGGTGTCTCAAATTGTGGGCATCTCCGTCAAGTACTTGTGGTTCTTCATCCTTCTGTCCAAGGTTCGGCTAGTGAGCTGTCAGACCAAGTGCACGATAGACTGAGATCATTTGAGATGCAAACCCGTGGTGCCTTATCTCAGTCAAAGAAGGAACTTCCCATTCCTGTACTTCATGGCATTGAGAGAATTCAGATTAGTGCACACTCTGACACTCAAAGTGCTAAATCGGAAGTTATGCGTGCTAATGGATTTGTCTTGGCAAAAATGGTTCGCACAAAGCTCTTGCATCGTTTTTTATGGGATTATGTGAATAGTTCAGCTGCATGCACTGAGGTGTCGACATCGACTAAAAGTGTAAAGCCCACTAGAAACAGTTCTTGCCTATTGTTTGGTTTAGATGTTGCTATCAAAGCTATGCCTTTTGAACTATTTTTGCAAGTGGTGGGCTCTCCTCTTAAATGGACTGATATGATTGAGAAGTGCAAGACTGGCCTTCTTCTGTCTGATCTTCCTGACGAAGAATTCAAGATCATGATGGATACTCGAGCAACTGGAAGGCTATCGTGGCTTATTGATATTTTGCGCCGTCTCAAGGTATATACGGTGTTTATTATGTTTCATCCTTGTTGCCTACTTCTCTTTGCCTTTGATTGATTTTTTTGCTTTTGCTCATTTATATTTTGGATGTTAACTATTGATTTATGATGAAAATGAGTAAAGCTGTATATGTTTGAAAGTTAACATGTATGCAGTTATGCACATTTTTTGGCATCACTGACACCTTGAAAAAATTTGGCCTCATTAGAGATGAGTTTTTTTTCTTTTTCTTAAGGTAAGTGGTGGCCCCCCCTTGATTTCCTATACCAGGAATAGCAAGGGGATGGGTAATGTGCATTAAACTCGAAGCAGAGCCATAAGAACTGAAGCTCGCTCCAACTTAGCTGAACTTCTTGTACTGATTATTAGAGATGAACTGTGCTCTACTGATGGGCACCTTTTGATCCTAGCTTTAAGTTTTGCCACAACTAAATTAGGTGTAGATTCAACACCTGGAGATTCCATCTGGGTGTTAACAATTTGACCTGAAAGACCAATAATGGATGCCATAATTATGTATTTATGTTTCTTCCAGAAAGTATCAATTTATTTTAGGGAAATTGTGTAGAACTACCCGGAAGATAGGCTGTTTTGTGAAGAACTACCCATTTTTTTTTTACTTGTTTACAACTACCCGAAAGTTTGAAAACGTTTGGGTAGCACTACCCAAAAACGTTTTCCGTCAAATTGCAACGTTAGTGGGGCCCACTTATTAACTTTCCCTCCTAATCAACTCCTCCCCCCAACTACCTTCTGTCTTTCTCTCTCCTCTGTATTTTCGTTTTACCTCCATTACCACCCCCTTCTTTCACCTTCGTCCTTTTACAGGGAATTTTCACCATCAATTTCCTCTCCTTTTCAGAAATTTGGCAGCCCTACCATAACTTTACTTGCTGTCTCTGTCTCTTCTAACTCATCTTGCTTTTTTGGGTAACTCGAAGTAAATAAGTCACACCACAACAATGGAAACGGGGGAAAGTGAAGTAAATACACAACAAAAAACAACAGCACAACAAGGACGAACGAGGTACATTGGTGTAATCATAATTGGGGGTTTTGATTTCTAGCGTTTGGATGATATTGCATAGCGGAGTGATATGAAGAATTGGACATCCTACCAATTACAATGTCAATTAGTAATTAAAATGCTTCACAATTCAATCTCAAATACAAAATAACCGATTCCCATACATCAATTGAACCCCCAAACCCTAGAAATCAAAACCCCCAATTATGATTGAATCCGTAAACCCTAATATGAGGCAGGCAGATTTCAACCCTATTTCTTTTAATTGCATTCCATTAAACCTTGTAAACAAGCGCGAAAAACAATGCATTACAAGGAAAATGTGAAAGATTACCTGATTTAGTGTTGCTTTGCTTGATTTCTTCAATCAGATTTTTTGGGTGGTAATGGAGGTAAAATGAAAATACAGAGGAGAGAGAAAGACAGAAGGTAGTTTGGGGGAGGAGTTGATTAGGAGGGAAAGTTAATAAGTGGGCCCCACTAACGTTGCAATTTGATGGAAAACGTTAATGGGTAGTGCTACCCAAACGTTTTCAAACTTTCGGGTAGTTGTAAACAAATAAAAAAAAAAAGGGTAGTTCTTCACAAAACAGCCTATCTTCCGGGTAGTTCTACACAATTTTCCCTTTATTTTAGATTACTAGTTAATTTTCCCATGATATCATTCTTTGGAGGCTTTAACATGGATAACCTTTCGTAAAATTGGTATTTACTTTGGAAACTGTTAACAATAATTAGGAAATAAGAAGCATGCATTAGTTAAAACCAGATAATTGCTTACAATAGCAATAAGCTTAAGGAATGGTAAAATTATCCAAGCTATCTATATTCTATTTTAAAAAACCGTAATACTTTTTACAGAAGATATCATTCTTTAATAGGCACTCAAGTATCAGGCTACTTTGTTTAATGCTGAATAATTACCAAGTTAATGTCAGGAGTCAGCTACATTGTTTAATGCAATTTTTTGGTTCTTTTTTTCTTTTTTCTTTTTTAAATGTTGAAGGAAGTTATATTATCTTGTTATTGCACCGTTGATTATCATTGACTACAATTATCTAACAATCTGCCAGAAAAGTTCTTTTTTGTAACTTTGTTTGTACTGTATAACCCTTGTCAGACCCAGATCTAATTTTCAATGTCCTAACATTTTGAATTCCATGCGCACAAGACTATCCTGCTCTTAGCAGGAAATTAAGAAGTTTCTGCAATATTAAGATGTTGTTTCCAGATTTATTTCCATGGAAGCCCTGATCACTAGTTTATCATGGACTAACCCTTGCAATCTGGGTCACCTTTTACTATATCTTGCATGTCCAATTAAAGAGAAGTTTTATTCACCTTGCGAGTTAATTATGATATGTCATTCCTTCAGTTTTGGTTTTGAAAAGAATGCTGAACCTTCTGGGTTTTTATTATTTTTTGTTTTTGGTTTTTTTCCCCTCATTTCTATCATGTTGAATTGATAATCTAGCTTATCCGGCTGGTAGCTGACGAAAGTCCCATGGATGCAACCAAGATCTCACATGCTAAACTTATATATGCTTTAGAGTTGAAACCATACATTGAGGAACCGCTATCAATGGACCTGTTGCCTCGAGGGCCTAGGCATGACTTTGTGTTGTCCACTGGCGAAGCTGTTGAAAAATATTGGCAGACTTTAGAGTATTGCTATGCTGCTGCTGACCCAAAAGCTGCTGTACGTGCATTCCCTGGATCTGTGGTTTTTGAGGTAATGATCTGACAATAATGTATCCATACAATTCACGTACTCTCGTTTGGTTATATGACTGTCTGCCCTTGTATATATATGACTTCACTTTAAGCTTAAGTGTAGTATTTCCTTAAAAAAATAATCTTTAGCGTCATTCTTCTTTTTAATCTCTAAGTTTGAAAGAGGGTGATAGCCCTTGTACTCTTGTAGATAGTTGATACATTTTTTTCCATTATGTTATTCGACTTGTGCATACCAACATACGTGTGTTTGTACTTCTCTATGTACAAAATATGGAGAATTGTTACCCATTACCAGCTTGTATTGCCCCCATTTCTTAGTCCTGTATTCTCAGCTTGTGATTGATAAATTCAATCATTTGAGTCTGCAGGTTTGTCTTTATCGGTCATGGACTACAGTCAGGGTGATGAAGGCAGAGCAACGTGCTGAGCTCCTCAAGCGCATTAAGGATCAGCAAAGTAAAAAACTCAGCTTTCAGGAGTGTAGAGAAATCGCCAAAGATCTCAATCTTTCTTTAGAGCAGGTGAAGAAGCCTTATAGGCTATAGCTCTTTATAGTCATGAAACTCTGTAGGCTTGAATTATACCACTCCTTTCCTATCTCATTACCTTTTTCTTAATTTTAAGCTTCATTATCTGGATGTATTTCAGTGTTAGGATGGAAGAACAAGTTTATGATAAGAATTATCTATAAAATGATGAAAATAAGATGATGCAGCTGTTGGTTGTTTTAATGTTCTGAAAAGTCCTTGAATGTAGTCTTGCAGATGGATGCCAAAAAGTTTTTTTTTTTCCTTCTTATTGACTAAGATCACAAAGCATCAATCAGGTCATGTCTCATGTGATCAAAACCTTTCTTAATAAATTTTTTATTGCCAAGAGGGATTAATGTTACCTCACTTGCCTGTAATCATCTTGATGTTCCTTACCGGTCAAACCACAGTCGCTAGTTCATGATGAATAATCAACCTATTGATAAAATTTGGTTTTGCTATTGCTTTGATGTTCTTGTAATGGAAAAAGAATTGGAAATTGGTCTTCTTTATCTATATAGAAATTAAGATATCCTCTTTGACCTGCTCTAACATATCCTTCTTACTAAAGTTGGTGTAGAAAACCTGCTAGGACAGTTATAGGGAAAGAGTGAGCAAATCTTACCAAAAATCAAGTGTGAAAGTGTTTTCTTAGACTGTTATATAAAAGTTGAACAAAGTCGGATGGAGCTGATGGAGTATCAATTATTGATCGAGTAAAGTGTTTTATTTGCTGCAATTAGTTTACACTGAGAGGTATATGCACCAAATCCTAAGATTCATTAAATTATTTGCAGGTGCTTCGTGTATATTATGATAATCGGCAACAGCGTCTTAACAGGTTTCAGGGAGATTTCAATATTCAGGGCGTGGTTTCAGATGCTAGAACTGATAGGAATCCTCAATCTCGGCGCAAAAGGAAGGTATCTGAAGAAGAAAGATCGGCAAAGCGTGCGAAAGCCAATCATACAAGTGGTTTGTTGAAATTTAATTTTTGTTGTTTTTTACTAAAGCCCTAGAGGTATCAGCCGAGCCTACTTGCCAGTGTGCTAAAGCATGTTGTTCCTTTGATGGCATGCTGGATTCTAGAATCCCATGAAGATAGTGAAGAAGAGGAGTTGGAGGAGCCTGAAGTTGTTGAACATGAGGAACAACAGGAGTCATTAATTGGGCAGTGTATCATGCCAATGTTGAAACCAACTCGTCAGCAAAAGTTCTCATGGACAGAAGAAGCAGATAGGTATGTCAAAAAAAAAAAATGAAGGATATAAAACTTGTAATTACCAGTCTGCCAATATAATTACTTTGTTTTGGAGCTTGGTGGCTAATATGAACAACAGAAGAGGGTTAGGAAATTGATGGCCTTTAGGTGATGGTTAATATTTGGTATTTTTACTTCACTTCATCCTATAGACACAGGTTTTTGAAGTTGAACTTTGTGTATATATGTCATTCATTTACAGGAGTATTAGTTTCATTTGTAGTCAAGTTGCTTAATTGCTTTTTGTCTCTCCTACCTTTGTCAGGCATTTACTAATTCAGTATGCAAGACAAAGAGCAATTCAAGGTGCAAGGCGCGGCACAGATTGGGCTTCAATTAGCGATCTTCCTGCTCCTCCAAATACCTGTCGTAGAAGAGTTTCTGTTCTGAGAAGGGACATTAAATTTGCAGAATCTTTGATGAGGCTGTGTAAGTTGCTTACTCAGAGGTATGCTCAGCAGCTGGATCAAGAAAAAAATGAGTGTGGTCAAGAGTCCCATTCTCAGGGAAAACGCTGGGATGATTTTGATGATAGTACAATTAAGGTAGCCCTTAAGGAGGTTCTTGTACAAAAGCAGATGATGAAATTGGAATCCGCCAAGAGAAGCGAATCTGCATCTCAGGTATTTAATCTCTATCAGTTTTTAGCACAGATGCTTAAGTAACCTCTATGCAATGAAGCAGCTTAAGACTACCCATTCGTCAAACTAACTAACTTTACTCTTTGTTGATCTTTTTTTTTTTTTTTTACCTGACTGCTAAACGCTTCCCTTACTCCCTATCTAAATAGATGAACTGTCTATTCATTCAGCCTTTTGTGATTTTTCCAATTTTGAATATGCATTTATTCTCTCTCCATTCCATGTTATCAACCCATTTTTTTTCCAAATTTTAAAAAAATCTCTCATATTAATTTATTTAATAATTTTAATGCTATATAATTTTCTACTTTAAAGTATCAATGAAATTATTATAGTTAACTTTTTATACCAATGCAATAACTTACACATCCTTCAGGCATATGCATAACCTTGAAAGACTTTTAATGTATATTGTTCTTCCTTGACTTTGTGAATGTTTCTCCTCAAGGGTGGGAGTCACTGTAACTTCATCAGCCAAAAATTTATCGACATGGAGCTAAAATCTTTGTAAAATATTTTGAATCCTTATGCAATTTAGTGCTTATAAACCTATCTGTGGTTGTAGGGAGCCCACAATATTGTTGCAAGTAGTCCAGGTGAGTTTGACAATGACTCTGAAAAGCAACAGATAGGTTCCAGTCAAAGATCCAGACGCCACCGCCTTCCTCAGAAGTTTGTCATGCATTTGAAGGAGGGGGTTAGCATAACCAAACGAATGAACCAATCGTTGGCTGTTTCTTGTGCTGTTGAGCTTTTTAAGCTGGTCTTCCTGACCAACTCAAAAGCAGCTGAAATGCCAAATTTGCTAGCGGAAACGTTATGTTGCTATTCGGAGCATGATCTTTTCTCAGCTTTTGACTACCTCAGGCAGAAAAAAACTCTGGTACGGTTTTTTAATTTATGCTCTCTGCTCTCAACTGCTTTCTGTCTTCTAGTAAGTGTTATGGTAGTATTGGACATGCATTGGCTCAGAAAATATGCTTCGAGTTTCTAGTGCTTACTATATGGTCAAATCTGGAAGTTTGATTTCACCTGGGCGGTATGTTTCGCTTCTCCCAGTTTCAGATTTTGTCTGGGTGATCTATGCTGTGAAAAATTGTTGCAGGCTTGATAGCTTGCAAAGCTGCTTACGACTTAAACGCCAAGTCAAATTAATTCACATGAGGGATGAGGTGCTAAGAGAAAAACTTGGGCCATCTTTCCCTCCCCTAAATCCAAAAGAAGAAACGAAGGATCATGCTTTGGTTATGCTTATGCTCATGTTATGGAAACTACTGCTACTTTATTATTTGTTGTCATTTTATGAATCAAGGTTGCGCTTTTTTGCGGCTAACTTAATTTGTAACAGGTTGGAAGTGGTCCCAGTCAACCATTTGTCCTGTCTCAAAGTTTTTTGAGGAGCCTTTCATTGTCTCAATTTCCAGCAAATACGGGGAAGCGAGCTGCTAAGTTAGCAAGATGGATAAGTGAAAAGGAGAAGAAGTTGATGGAAGGAATGGTGGATTTACCTTCAGATCTGCAGTGTGGAGATGTTTTCCATTTGTTTGCTTTAATTTCTTCTGGAGAGCTGTCCATTATGCCGGTTCTACCTCTTGAAGGTGTTGGAGAGGCTGAGGACTCGAGAAGTACAAAACGTAAATATGATGACCATGAATTTGAGGACAGTGGTGTTAGCAAGAAACATAAATGTAACTCTTTGCAAGAAGGTGAGATCTTTTCCCGGCGAGAGAAAGGCTTCCCTGGTATAAAAGTTTCTCTAAGTCGAGCAACAATTTTGAGGTCCAGTACTGTTGAATTTTTCAAAGATGAAGGTAATGCCATGCTGTTCAGTGAAAATGATCAGTTTTACTCGACTTTGGGTCAGATAGTCAGCTGCACATTATCCTCCATTGGGAGTGTGAAAGAATCCCCTGATTTTGGCAGTATTATTCCAGCTACTATTATTTCTGGTAATTCATTGTGGGAAGTTATGACAAATTTCACTATTCAAGATCTGTCCAAACATAGTGGACAAGAATATGCTCAATTGCATCCAGAGCTTTTCAAAATTGCACACACAAATATTCAGAAAGCTGGTGATCAGGGCTTAACCATGTCAAAGGTTTCTGAGTGCTTGGGAATTCAAGGTATTCTTTTTTGGAGTTGGGTGTATGTGTTTTTTTTTTTTTCTTACTTTCTTACTCTAAAGATCATAGTCATCATACTGATTATTTGGTTTCTCTTACCAGGTACAATTCTGGCTGAACATGTTGTTGATGTGCTTCAATTGTTTGGCCTTGTATTGAAGGTTGGTGTCATTTCTGATTTCAGGATGGTGATTTTGATACTTCTCTATGATTTTATTATATAATGTGAGCTGATAATATTTCCTGCGATTTAGGTCAATGGTTACAATTCTATTCATGTAGTTCATGGTCAATATCTCACCAAGTACTTTCTGGCCTCAAAGACAACTTATTCTCAAGGTCCTGGAATGGCTTCATCTTCAGTTCCTCAGAGAGATGAGACACATATAGTTGAAGGGACTGCAGATTGTGAAGATAAAGTGAATTACTCAGATGATTGTGAAGTGCATAGTCGTAATTCATCTGAAGAGGTCTCACCACTCTTTAATGAAGTTCAGGCTCACAAAAAGCTTGAAGGAAGCAGCTCTAGAACATCCACTGAAGATAGGGAGAATATCCAAAACTTTGACAAATCAACTGCTGCTTTCCGGCCAATTTTGCCTTGGATCAATGGGGATGGAACTATTAATAGGATTGTTTACAGGGGGCTTACACGTCGTATACTTGGTATTGTGACTCAAAATCCTGCCATACTAGAGGTAATATTACTTTATCCACTATTTTGTATGAGGGGCCCAGTCCTCCTGAAATTATCTCTGCTGTTGTACTGGTAAGATCAAAATTGCATGAATTCTAGACTTCTCCAGATCCTGTTAAGGCAGAGGTGATATACATGTTTTGAGTGTGTGTGTGTGTGTGGGGGGGGGGGGGTGGGCTGTAAATTAATCTTTCAACTAGTTGTAAATAGGGGGTGGTATTGTGGGAGGGGAGGTGTTGGGGAAATGGTATTGTGGCTTTCCAATATTAGTAGAATTTTCTTATGCTTTACAATAATAAATTAGAATGGTTTTCTGTTTATGTATCTGTGGGCATGGAATAGTCCAATTTAAACTTTACATGGTCCTTCTTTTCTTGTTGATCTTTGTATGATCGTGGTTTTCCATTATTTTTTTTGTCCCCTCTGCTGATCGTTGTATGATTCTGACAGGCTGATATTCTCAGTCAAATGGAAGTATTAAACCCGCAGGTATCCTTTTCTTGTTTGATTTGTCTGTTTAAACAAGATATTATCCTCAAAGTTATATGCTGCTTAACATCTCATCAATTTTTTCCAAGTAATATTTTAACTGACTTCCTTAATTATTATTTCAAAGATTTTTCTTCATTTAATTGCATAGATGGCAAAACACGACAGAATTTGGATAATTTAATTGTGAGACATTGAGTTGTTGCAAGAGTATAAACAAAGATTCAGTGCCTGAGTTCTGCCTGCACTCAGCACTTAAAATTGAATAAATAATTATGAAGATCGGTGTTGTGCTATACTTCATGCCAATTAGGATGGAAGATTGGAAGCCCAGTTTTAAAATAAACTGTTAATAGACAGCTATAGATAACAAGTATTTAACAATATGATAAATAAAATCCATTGAATATTGCAAAATTCTGGAAGCAATGTCGATATTGAATGTTACACAATTCCCCCACCCCCCCCCCCCCACCCCCACCACCACCACCACCCCCATTCATTGCATGTCGATACATATTATGCCTTGTGCCCTACTCCTTATGCTACTATCATTATATTTCTCTTAACTGGTATCATTTGCTTCTTTTCTTTTTATTTTTTTTCTTTTTTATTTTTTTTATTTCAATTGGAGCCAAAATTTTCACTTTTGCTGGCTTTGGGTTATAATGGATTACTCCTTATATTAGAGTGGCTCTTAAAAATGTTTTTGCATCTTATTCATGATGAATTATTAGAAGGGTTGATGCATTTTGTATATCTAGTAGTCCAAGTCTACAGCTACATGGATGTTATAGCTAAGAAGACAGATCTATGATATACGAGTATGCATGTTCTGATTCTAACTACTTGTCAATTGAAAGGCTCCCTACAGGGTTAAATCTTAAGCTCTTATTATTTGCTGTCTCCCAAGTCCTAATCTTTTAATTTGTCTTCAAAACTTATTTGACATATTCATGGATTTTCAGAGTGGAAATTTGTCACTGTATTGTCCAAAGTTAAAGTTAAGTAATTCACAGCATCTTAAAATGTCATGGGTTAAATAGCTAAATTCTATGTAATGCTGCCAAATGAAAGAGGATGAAATTATGAATCAAGACATTAAATTTGGTCTTTTCATTGAATTGTTTCAGTTGATCAGCTGACAACATGATGTTGGCAGTCGGTATATGCCTCTTCCTAGAGGAAAAATTTTCGAATAAGGAACTCTGCTTGAATCTTTGAATGTAAACTGTCTCATAAATTAGTTATGCTAGAAGATGTGGAGATTTAGTGGTGTGATTATAGGTTAGATCACAGGTAGAACTTAGAGCTTGGGAGGCACCTTACCTAGATTATTCATGGCAAAAAATCTTTGGCGGAAAATGTGGTCATGTAGACATGGAGAATATGACTTGAAACTGCAGTGTCAGAGAGAATGTTCTTGTTTATTTGGTCTTATATGGTGCAGATGAAAATATTTCTTCTACTAAGCCACAAATTTTTGGTTCCCTGCTTGATTCATTATGAGTTTACCTTTTCTTTCTTTATTAAATCAAAGGTGCATTTGTTTATGCTTTGTTCACACTTTCTTCAGAGTTGCCGAAAGTTGTTGGAATTGATGGTTTTGGATAAACACCTTATTGTGCGGAAGATGACTCAAAGAACTTCTTCAACACCCCCTGCCTTGCTGGAGAGTCTCATTGGCAGCCACTGTAGACCTAAGTTTGTTTGTCGACAGCATTACTTTGCAAATCCAATGAGTACTTCACTGCTATGATTTTAGGATCCTTACAGTTTGCTTAAGAGTCATATCCTATGCTGTACAAGAGTTCTTGCTCAGCAGTTTTTTTTCTTCTTCTTTTAGCGTAGAGGCTTCTCGTTGTTGAGCCCCTGGCGCAAACAATGTGTACAGTTTCTATCAATACATGGTTCTACTGTTGCAACTTCTTTTACTAGTAGATCATTAAGGCCGAGGACTTAAACTAGTGGTTAAGAGTTAAGACTGATAGCATGTGTACGAATTTCATGGGTTCAAATTCCCTCATCCCTATTTGTAATTTGTATTGCCCTTGTGACTCATTTGGATAAATATAAAAAAGAAAAAAAAATGAAAAGGAAAGAAAAAAAGAAAGAAAGAAAGAAATTATGTGAAAATAACTTATAAAAATCAGTTTTGTGAAAACTACTACTATGGTCGTACCTTATAAAAAATGTTGTTGGTAAACTATGGAGCATCCATTTCTGTGTTTGAAAGTTGTTGGTAAACTAACTTATAAAACAAAATATTGTAAAAAAGAATTGCCGGATTTCGGGAGTTTGATTATTTTTTTTTTTTTTTGCCACTCTTTTCTTCCTTTTTTCCCTTCGCTCATGGCCCCAAAGGCCATCCTCCCAAAGTCGCCACCTTTTTTGTTCACTCTTCCTCTTAAAATGGTGGCAAGTGTTTCTCCTTACAATTCCTTAGCTTCTTTCTCTCCCCTCTTTTTTTGTGGTTTGGCCTTCTTCAAGAACGAGTGAGAAAATTTGGGGTATGGTGGTTAATTTATGGAGGAATGAGAACATACATGAGGGCTTTGAGAAAAATGGAAATTTTGGTTGAAAATGGAGTGGGAAAAGAAAAAAGACAATAAACAAAAAGTCAACATCGGAAAATTTCAAACTCCTGGAATCCAACACCTTTTAGAACAATTTATGCTATATAAGGTAGATGATTATAAGTTTCCTAAAAAAAAAGGTAGTTAATTACAACATTTTAATATATAAGATACGGAGTAATTTTCACAAAACAGATTTTTATATGATAGTTTGATTTCCCACAATTTCCTTCCCAAAACAAGAATGTATACTCAGAGTTTTCAGCTGTAATCCACTATAACTTGCAAAACATAATTACTGAACGACTAGAACGATATTAGTTATCGTTAGCCTTTTAACGCTTAAAATCATCAGAATAATAGTTATTTTTTTTTAAGATTTTTGTTTTCAAAGCATAATAACATCCAAGCTATGCTGGATTTATTTCCTATCAACCTAGCTAATCTCTTGACGTATAGCTTGGGAAGCTTCCCGTAATTCTCATTCATCTGACCCCCATTTCTACTTAGCAAAAGAATTACATACATGAAGTGAAATGTTGCCTGGAAACAGAATCAACATTATCTACTATGTGCCTCTGCTTATTCACAATTGCTTTGAATTTCAACAATAGAGGTTCCAGACTGTGTCTAGCTCGAGTTCTTGCTTCAAGCATATCAAAGTTGCTGGCTTCTAGGGAAGAAATTCATCCGGACAGGAACGGGACATGAGCGAGTGTAGTAGGCAAGGAGATATCAAGGTTATGTATAGCCAAATAAGCTGCAATTCCAGCAGCATACCCAGCAAAAGCAAAACCACTCACCTACACAAAACAGACGTGTGATGAGCTCAATTAAAAGGATTAAAACTGATGAAATGATATGTCATCATGATGAATGTATTACCTTCCTGAAGTACCAAAAAAAATCAACCTTTTCCATGCCCATATAGGCAACTCCGGCTGCAGATCCTATAATTAACATGGAGCCACCAGTACCAGCACAATATGCAATTAGCTGCCAGAATTCAGAGTCTTGCGGAAATGAAGTTACATCATACATTCCCATTGTTGCCGCAACAAGAGGAACATTATCTATAATCGCTGAAACCACACCTACTGCGCTGGCAATAAGTTCAACATTTGGTATATGAGCATCAAGGTAATTTGCCAGCTCCCGAAGGATTCCTGCTGCTTCCAAGCTACAGCCATAAAATTTGAAAAGAGAGGAATCCATCAGAATGTTGATGAAAATGTGAAAGTTTTAGTCCACTGTAATCCGTTGAAATGTGCAAGTGCAAATTTATTCATTAATTATCAAGAACTTGAGCACCCCATTAAACCAACCCCCTCGACCCACCCCAATTAAAAAGAAAGTATGCAATGCAGTTAAGCCACAAGTAAGACTAAACAGCTCAAACACCCAAAAGAAACAAAAGAATAAACACAGTTTAACCAGAGATGCAAAATTGCAAACACTACTTAATGAGTTTGAAATTACCTTGCAACAGACAAAAGAATCCCTAAGAAGAAAAGAGCCCCTTGAGTATCAATTCGAGACAAAGCTTGAGGTACTTTCAGTCTCTGCCTTTCAGATTCACCATAGTGAATGGCATCAGTTAATAGCCAGAGAACACCAAGTCCTAAAAGCATGCCCATGTACGGAGGCAGACCAGTAAGGGATTTGAACGCAGGAACAAAGACCAAAGCACCAATACCTACTGCAAAAACAAGCTGCCCTCGAGGTGCCATCTGCTCAGATGCCAAGACACCAGAAGATTTTGTTGCCTTTCCATTAGCTTCACTGTGATGGGGAAAAAAGAGATTGGTATAGCTTCATCCAAAAAGAATCATTTTTCTCCAGCTGACAGAATATACTGCACTCATTAGTAAGACACATACCTTGTAAGTGACATAAGGGCCAATGGGACAGCCAAAGAAACAGCAGAAGGTATAAACAAGGCCTACAAATCCCAAAGAAATGTCAAGATTGGGAAGCTATAACGAAATTAGAAGCAGTTGTCAAGAATCTCAACTTATGACAGCCAGATATGCTAAGCCAGTATTTTCAACCTGTGAAACATAATTCTAGACCTAGATTGAATGTTGCAGAACGTACGGACAGTGGCCACCACAACAATAAAACTCCCTAGTGACATCATCCTAACCCCTCATGATTACTTATTATGGATATGTAAAATTATTCGTCACATATATTACTTTTCTATAATTGTATGACAATTTCCAATCCTCCCCGTAAGCTCAAATCTTAATAAGAATTTTGGGAGAAATGGAAAACCTATCAAGCTATCACAAACCATTACTATTTTAGGAAATCTGACTTCATAAACCACGACAAACCTTCATTGTGGGCAGTGTGGATATCTGACCATGAATCCAAAGCATGGTAGTTGTGACATCACCAATGGGAGTCCAAGCACCCCCAGCATTTGCAGCTATGACAACAACACCCCCAAGAATCCTGCCAGAGATAATATACTCTCATGAGTACAATATGGGATGTACAGGGGCACAAGTTGTTTGAAGAATGCAGACAATTCTGGCTGCAAGTGTTATAGGTGCTTTTTTAAAATGGGTCTTATCCCCTTTCTAAACACAGACAACACACAAAAGGATACCATTAGTGGGTCTTTTTTGAGAATTAAGAATAATAATTGAAATGAAGCTAGATTGAACAGGAACCAACTTTTCATCTGACTGACAGCTATTAGTTGTCCATGTAAAATTGTAATACGTCGGCATCGTCGCAGTTTTCTCTTGCACAGCTCAGGCCCCAATTAGAAAATTTCTAGGAGTAAAAGCCCCTGTGTTGCAAAATAAGTGGATAACATCTGCTGTCACAAAACATCTCCCCCAACCACCTTGGAAAATAAAAGCCTCTTGAATATTGCTTCTCATTTGATTGGATTCTAGTAATTGACATTCATTAGTAATCGGCTTCCAGAGATTGACATTCATAAGAACTGGCTTTTATGGATTGACATTCATAGGCTTCTTATCGGTTAACTTTCTGAGATTTTCTATTTGTAATTTTCTTGTAAGAAGAATAACCCTCACCATATCCCAAACAAGCAACAAAAGTAAGAATGAAAAAAATGATTCCCACTAGGGAAGGCCTATATGGCAATCATCCACTTCTAAATAATTCCAACTTCTGTGGTACTTGTAAATAAACAAGAATTCTGCATCTGCATATTATGAGTTTGTTTGTAGCTAGTACATTTCATGTTTCATTTGCACAAACATACAGGTATGAAATCTGGTATTTTCTTTTACTCCAGCAGATTTTAAGGGTCAACAACTGAATGACTTTGTAACATTAAGCAAATTTGTGCCCGTTATTTTATTTTATTTTATTTTATTTTAATGTAGTGGCTTAGAATTCAAAATTCAATATTAATTTCAATATTATCTTATTTTAAGCTAGGAGACCTCAAAAAAAGTTAGGGAACTTACTTGCGGTACTCAGATGGGGGAACTAGTTTCCTCAGCAAAGAAACCATGACTATTGTAGATGTTAGGTTGTCAAGAATTGAACTCAGAAAAAAGGTTACAAAACCAACCTGCAGTATGATAGAATACAGAATATCATATCACAACTTAACAACTTGTAAAGTTAAGCTAGCAAGAATATACAATAGATTCAATACAAATAAAAAAAATTAGAGACACATATAGTTGTATGTCTATGATTTAAGAGAGATTTATGATGCTTAAAAAATACATTATTATTACCTCCACGTTTATTTTAATTATCTGTTGGACTCACAAATTGTAGATATGTAGTTTTTAAGAACTTTAAAAACGATGAGCGGGTGTAAAAAAAGTAAGAAAGAGCGTAAAAATGGATGAGTGAGACTAAGTAAGTAGAAAATGTGTAAAAAGGTGGATGGATGTAATAAAAATGTGAATATGGTTAGAGAGAGTGTGGAAAAGTGTATATATAGTGGGGTATGAGAGGTAAGATGGTCGAAATCCGCAAATAAATGGAATTAAGAAAAGTGAGGAGAGCAAAAAAAATAAAATAAAAAATTAAAACAACATAAGCAGAAAATGAGTAGAACAAAAGCTTTAACTTTTTTATTAGAAATAAATAAAGAAAAGAAATAAATAAAGAAAAAAAAAAAAAAAAACGGAGGTATTATACAATAGCCTTCCCCCAAGCCTCGACCTAACCCCAACCCAAACAGGGATTGCAGCCTCACCCTAACCCAACCTGCAAGTTGATGTTCAAATTAAGTGCAGCCATGAATCCTTTATTAGTCCAATGAAGTGAACACTTTCATTTTCCTTAGATTTTGGAAATAGAATGTGTAATCAGCCTTTCACTGCTAGATTCGATGATCATTAATTTTTTCGACGGAATGACTAACATGTTGAGCAACAAATCTCTAATTAAGTAACAAACATGAGCTATTTATGTTATTCAAACATCTTTCCAAAGCACTTGTAGTGACATGCAATAGAAGAATCTCTAATTGTTAGTATCAACCCATACTATACTAACCCCTACCCTCCCCCCCCCCCTCCTCTTAACCCCTACTATCCTAACCCCTACTATATCTATATGAACCCCTACTATCCCTTAATAATCCCTATTATCATAACCCCTACTATATCTATATGAGCCTCTACTAGTCTAACCCCTCTGTCATAATCCCTACTACCCTAACCCATAGTATTTAACCCTATTATATCAATATGAACCCTGACTATCTAACCCCTACTATATCTATATGAACCCCTACTATACTAACCCCTACTATCTCTACTTCAACCCCTACTACCCTAACCTATTATCTATGAACCCCTACTACATGAACCCCTACTATACTAACCCTACTACCGAACCCATATTACACTAACCCCTACTATGATACTATCCTAACCCCTACTACCCTAACCCTTACTATCTAACTCCTCCTATCCTAACTTCTGTTATATCTATATGAACCCTTACTATACTAACCCTATTATTTAACCCCTACTATATTTATATGAACCCTTACTATCTAACACCTATTATCCCTACTATATCTAACCCCTACTATATGAACCACAACTATCCTATACTATGAGGATAGTATAGTATGGGTTTTTGAAGGTTAGTAGGGGTTCATGAAGTAGGGGTTATGGGTAGAGATACTAGGGGTTAGGGTAGTAGGGGTTAAGGTAGGGGTTCATATAGATATAGTCGGGGTTAAATAGTTGTGGTTAGGATAACAAAGGATCATATAAATATAGTAGGGGTTAGATAGTATGGGTTAGGATAGTAGGGGTTAGATAGTAGGCATTCATATAGATATAATAGGGGTTAGTATAGTAGGGGTTAGGGTAAAAGGGGTTAGGATAGTAGGGGTTTATATAGATATAGTAGATGTTAGATAGTAGGGGTTCATTGCAAAGAATATCCGGATGCTAGTAAAGTTGTAAGTATACTGAGAAAAACAGAAGACAAGAGAAACAAAAAAAAAAAGCTTCAGCTAATTATTAACAAATAGTAAAGTAAAGACCATAGCTTTATTCCAGGAATTGCTAAGAAAGATATCTTCATCATTTAATCTAAAGACAGCTGCTAAATCCACTGTTGTTTGCACTATATATTGCTGAACATGAAAATTTCCCTTTCATCAAATGCATTGGATTTGAACATTAGTAACTAATCAAATAAAGCACTTACCACCCATAAGAGGGTGCGCGGTTTACGCGTTGTAATATTCTCAGTGACAAGCTTAAATCCTTGATGAGCATCAACTATTTCGACGATTGTCATCGCACCTAACAGAAAGAAAACGATTTGGCTGACTTCAGCAGTGGCATGCTCAAGCTCTGACAAAGCAACCTCAGTAGATGGAGCCTACAAAACATTTAGATACAAATTAATGACATGTTATGAAATGACTGTCTAATATGCAAAAGATATGGGGGACTGATAACCTTTATTAATCTTAGTATTGATATAGTTACGTAATTATTGCTTATTATATCAGATATGTAGTGCTACAAACTCACACCAGATATAACGAGTATGAAATGCACAGCTTTTTGCTTCTCATTCATGGGGAGCACTGCACTAGAGTCAATAAATTGTAACTGCTATTCTGCTAGCTCCACTTATTCAAGCTGCAGATTACTCCTTGCTATAAAACTCTAATTGCTTTAGCTACTTCCATAAGAAGAAAGAGAACAAGTAAATTTGGTGCTGTAAACATTTTCTCTGTACGCGACTAGCATATCAGCACGTCTAGCGCATAACTTTGCAACTAGCAAACTAACATTTTAAGGAGAGCATGTAAAGCATTTAAATTTTTACCATCCACTTCCTTTGTTCCCCAAATATTGCAATGTGGGGATGGGACACAGATTTTAAGAAGAGGAAAGAGATAGAGAGGAGTAAAGATAGGGACCCATGTGACGAGGAGAGAGAGAGAGAAAACACGTGCAAATAAGGAAATGTTGCAATATTTGTGGAACGGAGGAAGTATTACACTGCCAGAAAATTCCGCAAGTAAAGAAAAACTTACCCCTATGCTTCTTACAGCCCACAAGCTTACTGCCATGATTAAACCTACTCCACTTTTATTGAAAGCCAGAGATTCCTCAAATATGATCCCGGCATATCCTATTCCAAATAGCAATGTCATAGCAAGATCCTGCATCACAAGATTTTATCAATAAACTTCTATCAGCTTGTCTACTTCAGGTCTAAAGCAATATGGATAAGCAAAGCCTGCAATAGTGCAATCAAACATTAAAACAAAATTAACCTGATTAGCAGCAACCCAGGAATGATTTATGGCTACAGCACCTGTCAAAGCAGCAGCAAAAATAGCAAGAGCTTTCAGCAAATCAGTCTTTGGCTGATAACTGGCTTCGAAATCTTGGGAACTTGTTTCATCAACTGAGCATATTGGATCACATTCTACTGATGAATTTATCAGCTCCTGAGAATACACTAATAAGGTAAATGCACAACTCAGAAGTAGTCACATCAAGAAATTAAAATACACAAGACTCTATTAATGAAATAGTGAGCAATTACATGAATATTAAGGTCCAACCAACTATGCTACATTGCTAAATGCACGCAGATCAGGAATCCAACTTCCATACATGTCAAACATCATGTTTTTGGTGGTCTGACCTAAATAAGAAATGTCTGTTTCCCTATGCAACAATGTCCAGTATTCAACACAGGTACAATGAGTTGAACAATACATGTAACATACTAACACAGATATGCAGTGGACTACAGCAAAACTATGTTCCTCAGACAAGAGTAGTCACACAATCCAAGCATCATTGTGTCAAACTTAGCTATATCAGCGTATTAAAGTTCTAATGTAAAGCGTCTAGTGTTTATGTAAGGGTGTCAATCATCAAACATGGGTATTTAGGTGAAAAGAAGGTTTCAACTTTCAAGTAACATAGCAGCAAAATACAAATAGGGTTTTGCATAGCTCTATACATCATTTACAATACCCAACTCGTCCAATTCAACTTTCTAAGCCTGCAGTCTACGATTACAACCCGATTTTCGGATATCCTTAACAATTAATGCGCAATTCCAGTAATTCAATATGCTAATGCTATCCAACAGTAAAAATACCCAAGCAACTTCCAATTACCCCTAAAACCATGTCAGCAAGAAAGAACCTCACCACAAAATAAATAAATAAATAAATAAACTCATATGAGAAGCAAGCTCAAATACTCAATATTAGAATTCAAGATAACAACAATGATTTTATTTTCCAATATAATTTAATAGCATTGAACCGTAAAACTGTCAAAACAAGATCAATTCCACCATTTTTAATTACAAACCATTAATCCCACAATTACATGCTCCGTATTTTTCCCAAGTCAACGCAAAAGCAACCCTACTAATTCATCAATTAATTCCAAGAAATCAACAATTACATCTTAAATATGTTAGTAAAATAAAAATAAATAATAAAAAATGAGAAGACCTTAAGTTGTGGCGGAGGTGATGAGCTTCTGGCCTTATCTTCAGCTCTGACAATAACACCTTCCCTAAAGTTCCTACAATTTCTGCCCAAAAAGCTCGAACTCAAGCTCACCAAAGGATGAGAAATCGCCGGCGAGGTTCGCCGGAGAAGTACCGGCGAAGGGAAGGATGATGGTAGAAATGGGCGTTTAAGTGATGTAAGTGAAGTCGACAAGTAGTGGGGTGGCGAGGAGAGAGAGGACGCCATTAGAGAGGTAGAGAGCAGTAAGAGTAGAGGGAGCAAGAATGGAAGTTAGACTTGGAGAGAGTGTAGAGATCATGGAATTTTATGGATAATGCAAGCAATTTCACTATTCCCTCCCTCAGCCTATTGTATTTTAAGAGACGCACACATTTAAAACAAGTCTGTGTTAGAATTAGGGGCTCAAATTAGCCCAAATATGGAATTCAAAGCCTTGAATTTTGGACAATTTTCAAAAGTATTCTCATAGACTTTATGATACCCGGGAATCTATTTGGATGGTTGAAACCGTCTACTATACTTTTAAACCGTCAATCTATTTGTTTACAACTTACATCCTTTTTATCAACTCAAGGTCAACGCATGACTCAATATGACCGACTAGTGGTCATTTATGTTTCCAAACAATATTATATGACTTCAATATGCATCCCCTAGAATCCCAAGATTTTTCAACACTGAGTCTTGAAAACTTCTAAAATAGGTCCAAAAGCGTGAATTATACCTTTCAAGTTTGGATAAATTTGGACTTTTACCGAACCTGAAAAGGAAAAAGTTCGAGGAGCTTATTATGGACCGCAACACATATGGGAGGTCCTTTGAATGGTTAGAACTATCTACTCTGTCTTTAAACAATCAATATAACTGCTTTTGTATACGCCTCCTTTCAGTGGTTGTACGAGTAGGTCATCACAGGCCTTTATACGGGCGATTAATGGTTTAATATGGTTTAAAACAGCATTGTATAACCTCGAAATGGATCCCCTACAACTGCATGAGCTTTTGACACCAGGTTCCTAAACATTCAAAATTAGTTTGATTTCGTGCCTTCCAAATTGGCTTTCGAACAATATTTTTGGTCTTGGCAAGATTATGCATCTTGGGGTTCACAAAAGGCATTTCAATACATGCTTGGTGCCCAAAACCATCTCATACATATCTTGGTAAATCCTTAATCATTATCAAATCTTAAGATGCATTCGATCGTCTTAACTTGGTCTTATTACCTTGTGGCTTGTGTTAACCTTAATTTGTGTTGCCTCCCCTTGAGCCTTTGGCCTTAAATTGAGACAGACCCATTCATTAACCACAAATTGCCAAAAGAATAATTTTTTTTTTTGTTTAAGGATTGGTTGTTTTTATGCCTTATCCACATGTCTTAACCCATGTCACACGCCTATAACACAATCGTGTCTTGGCAGGTTTATACCATCCAACACACTAAGAATAGACGTTATGCTTTAGCGCAATTCCATACTTAACATTTTTTTAAGCACCTAGGGTGCATTGCTAACCTCGTTTAGTAAAATATACGGAGTAGGTGTTTTTAGGAAATAAAGTAGTTTTTCTTCATTAAAATAAAAATAAGTATTTCTAAAAAAAAAAATACTTGTACAAGTAATAATAAGTATGGGTATAGACGTATAGTTATATTATTTTTTTTGAACACATAGTTATATTACTTGTATAGTCGTATAGAAGTGTTATTACAGTACTTCGTATTTTTTTTTTTAAAATAACAAAACAATTATGCGTTAAAAAAAAAAATAAAAAAAAATTAAACGCTTCGTTTAACCTAAGTACACAAATTATACGAAGTACTCCATATAAAACGTCTTAAACCCTTTGAAGCTTCTCCTTTTCTCCAGAATTCATCTAAAACCTAATTGCCGCCATTATCGTCACCTTCAACCACCATTAAAGAACAACTAAGAAGATGAGAACCCTAGACGAGCAAGAAACCACCATAGTTTTCGAGAAGCTCTTCAAATTCGTCGGAAACAACCTGAAAAACATCGTCGACAACCCCGCCTACGAAGGTCCAGCTTCAGACCCACTTCCAGGTCGCTACTGCTTCCGCCTCCAGAAGAATCGAGTCTACTACGCAAGCGAATCGCTCGTGAAACGCGCCACAAACGTTTCGAAGGAGCAGCTCGTTTCGTTGGGTGTTCAAGTCGGGAAGTTCACCCACCATGGAAACTTCCATCTTACAATTCACGCACTTCCTCTTCTTGCAGCGAATGCGAAGCATAAGGTATGGCTTAAACCCACCTCGGAGATGTCGTTTTTGTATGGGAATGCTGTGTTGAAGGCTCATTTAGGGAGGATTACTGAGGATATTAATGCTGGTGATGGTATTGTTGTTTATTCTATGTCTGATGTTCCTTTGGGATTTGGAATTGCTACTAAATCGACTAAGGATGTTCGTAAATCGGACCCGCAAACTATGGTGGTTATTCATCAGGGTGATATTGGTGAGTATTTGAGGATGGAGGATGAACTTTGAATTGGGTATCTTAAATTTTCAATTTTGTTGTTAGAGATTTTTGCGATGGATGGAAATTGAGACATTTGTGTTAGTGGGTTATGTATGATTTATAATGAGTAATGATATAAAGATGATTGCAATGTTAAATTATAATGTTATGAAGCTTCAATTTTGATTTTTGTACTAATTTTTGTTTTTGTTTTTGCTTTTGTGTTGTTCATTTGAACTAATGTAATGGGGAGTGCTTAATCCATCCTATATAGATTGAATTATCCAGTACAATATCTAAAACATTAATTGCCATTGAGCGAAACCAAATAATATAAGTTTAAGATCTTGCTGCTTGATGGGTTTAGTGAATAGGTATGTTTCGTTTTTGTCATCATGTTCATTTTATATGCAGCTGGTTATTAATCTTTGCTAGCATAATGCCTTGGTTTACTATGGTGAACATGATAATGATATTAATATTACTATGGTCTAGTACTCTAGTTAGATGTGTAGGCTGTGGTGTATGTTGGCCACTGCGGGAAGAGATTTGAATGTCAAGGTGTTTGATCTTTTGGAGTTGTACTAATTTTTACGGAGTATCAATTTTGATTTTGATGAAGTCGCGGAGAGTTGGACCTACTCTTTTATTGTATCCAAATTTATGGAGAGTCTCTTTGTTTGCTGCCCCTGCATGTGCTTCCTGCTGAAGTTATACCTTGAGCTTGCGTTGCTGAAACCTTGTAGGTGTATATATGACACTCTAGGATTCAAGTGACTTTCTTGCATCAACTGATATAAGATGAGACCGTTTTAAGTGAACCTGTATCACTACAATCAGACCTTCTATTTGGGCTTCATTTGCAAAGGACTCTAGTGCTTTAAGAATAGAGTAAGAAGATGCTGCCTTCTTTGGTTGGGTGTTGTAGACGTAATCATGGGAACATTTTGGAGCCCAGCAATGGTTGATTCTGTATTGTTCATTGTTACTATTAGGGCATTTATCAATGTTAGAAGTCTTAGAACCTTTACTCTTTCATGCCTGCAGAATCAAGGGATGATATGTGTATATCAGATATGCATTTAGACGAGCATCAGGAGTATATACTGTATATTCAGGGACTTAGGGTTACAGATAAGGGAGTTTTGGGAACACCTTGCTGATTGGGAAGCATTTATGGGACACTTTCTTTAGTAGAACTACGTACTGAACTAGAATCCTGACGCCTTGATCCCCCCCAGGTCATTTCCATGTCTCATATGCTACAACGAAACAAGTTACTACTTATATAGAGTTGTGATCATTGAAAAATCCTGGTGATTCCTGTCTGAAATGTGAACTCACTTTGCTCTTTTCTACAATTCTACTCTATGTTAGCTTGTCTCCAACTTTTAGAACTTAAGATGAATTTCTGTGTGTGTATTTCTGATCCTTAAATCTTCTGGAGTTAGAGCAAAAGGTTGGATGGGATTAGAGTATTATACCTGAACCATACCTTTGTATTGCAGAGCCATTGGGGTAAATAATATACCTGCAGTGTGAAGTCATTATGTCACTAATATACCAAATAAACTCCACATTCTGATAAATACACACTATGTAATTCATATTTCATAACGTGCAGAATGAACTGATCATATAAATATAAGAGGATGAAAATATCATCAAGAACCATTCAACATACAAAATCCAGGGATAGCAAAGATACAGATATAAAATTCAAAGCTCATTCTTCACTTGAATTATTTTATGATATAATGTTTGACTAAGCACCTCTCTCTATATATACTGTATTTATGCATAACAGTTCAACAATCCTGAGCAAAACTGAAGCGGTAAAATGTTGTGTGGGGTAAGAAGAGAGTCTAGGAGTCAAATGAAACTAAAAGACATAGAAATCGAGGAGGAGAGAGAGAGGGAAAGAGAATTGGAGAGAATAACAGCTCAAGATAATCTTAAAACAGAGATCACTGAGCACTTTACCCACCCACATCCCCTGATATATACCGAGTCAGACTATAAGCAATTTCAATGTAATTCTTGCAACTGCAAGGGGAAAGGAAAGAGATTCCATTGTGCCCTATACAACTTTGATCTGCACAAGATTTGTGCTGAAAGCCCCATCATCTGGCTCTTACATAAAATGCCATCTGAAGAGATAGAGAGGTTTGGATCCTTCATGACATCATTGATACTTTCGCTCATCCCCAGCACTCGGTGATTTCTGAGTACAAACAGAAGCTTTTCAGGTGTGATCACTGCAAGAATGTTGGGGATGGTCTAAGGTATTACTGTGATGCATGTAATGTTACGTAGCAACCAACCAGACTAACCTCCCACCTGCACCCCCAGCACGAGCTTGAACTGAAGCTCAGGCCACATTTTAAATATTGTGAACTATGTGGAACCAAAGGGAGTCACAGGAATAATCGAGTATACGGCTGCAAAGAATGTGAATTCTATATGCACCCTGAGTGCAGCCAGTTGCCACTATACTTGCTTCACCCACTACACCCTCCCCATCCACTGCTGCTTCAAAGATCATGAGTGATTATCGTTGCTCTGCTTGTTCGGAGTTGAAGACATATGGCTCTAAGTATAGTTGTACACGGTGTGGGCTAGATTTTGATCATACTTGCATCATAAAGAAGTCTATAATTGGTCTGGATGATGAAGTGAGACAGAATCACACAGAGGATAAGATCGCAGTACTGCCAGTTGCAAATTTAATATCTTCATATGCACTGATTGCATCTCCACAGGTTTCTTCTACCACAAGTATTGATTTCAACTTCCTCATGGTCCCATCAAATATTATTCAGAGCTTTTCTGAAAATTAGATCCACTGTCCACTCGATTGATCTCTTCATTATGTATTTATGCAGCTGGTA